CCCCCCCCCCCCCCCCCCCTCAACCAATTGACGAAATATGATTTAATCGTATATCCCTGTGAGCGCACACGGTAATCTCAAGCAGGGGAGTTGACCTCCAATTTCCCACCTCCACAAAAGAGAAATGACATATTCACTCAAAAGCCACCCGAAATTCGCATCGCTCCTGATGACAATAGATGTATGCAATCGCTTCCCTCCCTCGCAGCTCGACGTCCTCGATCCCCAGCAACAGTTGGCTTAAGTCATTCAGAAGGCCGCGCGCGTTTCCAATGAAACCTAAGATCGTTTCCAAAGCCCAGTGCATCAAGTTACGGTGTCAATGAATTATTATGTCGAGATCTGCTATCAATGCGAAAGGGAGGTGGGTCAAAAAGGACTCGACGAATGCCAAATGCCGATGTCCAGTTTCGACATTCAAGAGCATGCCATTTTGAGGCAAGTGGGAGCGTTCATGAATATTCTAAGACAGGGAACCATGTTGTACATTCCCCTTCGTTGCACCACAGCGGGGATAGGATATCGTTACTCTTGCACCTAATTTTTTGCAAGTTCATCCATTAGCCCTCCATAAACCAGGTACAGGTCTCGACATGGGTCCCGCTATTTCCCCGCGATCTCGAAACCCTCCACAGAACCAAAACGAGAAGAGCGTCAACTCACCTCCGGCGGATTCCCTGCCCCGCGAACCATCTTTTCTATCATCATCGCTCGAACTTTCTCCTTGTTCTCTCCCATCCCTATTGCCATGTATTCCAACAGGGGCGGGTGTCCGATGTACGACGCATAGCTATCGCGGAGGATGTTGGACGTCCACTCGTACTTCGTGGTGTCTGCGTGGCCGGTGCCGACATAGCGAGCTTGCAGAGCCTCGAGATTTTGGAGAGTGCGCAGTTTATCGGCCATTGTGGTTTGTTTTTAGCTTCTGAAATAAGGTGGTGTTGCGGTGTTCAAAAGTTGCGTTGGCTGGACCGGACGTTGGCTTATTATATAATTTGTCACGTGACTATGGAACAACCCGCGAAGAAGTTTACTTCAACTACTGGTAGTAACTTGGATGATGTATTTGCGAAGACATTCCGTATTCATCAATGATCTCGATCATTATCTTGGCATCAAAAATCTTGTAAGATAAGTCGACCGTATTCTGATGGGCAACAACTCCTTGGAGAGTCGCATAGCAAGGCTTGTCCACTCGCATTTTGACGCCCTGCCGAAACGCAGTAAACCAACAATCCATCCTGATGGATCGAGGCAATGGGTACCCCTGAGCGGTATTGTACTTGCCATTGGTAAGCCGAGCACTTTTGAGTTATGAGTTGGGCCGTCCTATGGAAGGAAACCACATATGTTTGGCTCCGCTGGACTCTTACCCTTTCTGATGGCCTGCCTGAATCCCTCCCATGTTTGAGAAGCGAAGCCTCACATCTTGTGGTATATATATATGTATATTTGAGTTACTCGAAAATATCTAATGAGCATTTTTAATTCTTGAAATGGGTTGTCTTGCGATTTTTACTTGTGACCTATAGATTAGCGTTTATTTGGGGAAGGGGGGGGAGGGGGGGGGGTATTGAAATCATACATTGGCTAATTCTGCGGCAAAGGGGAGAATACACAGGATGAGATTTTAACTTGTGTAGCTATCGCGTATGTATGCCATGATCTACTGCGTGGGCTAATTCCACTGACTTTGGGAAACAGAACAGGGGCGAAATGCCTCTCATCTTCTCAAATGAAACAATGCCACGGCATGGTATTGCATGATAGCCACGCTGAAATCTTAGCGATTCGGGCTTTCAACCACTGGCTGCTTGAAGAATGCAAATCCCTGCTTCAACAGAGGGTAGGCTCTTCTAATTATGAATTTGACCGTGGGAGCATTGGAACCAACGAGGCCAGCGACAACTATGGCGCGGGGGCATATCCAGCCCACGAAGGGATGTCTGATAAGCAAGCATCGGTGTTCATAAATTGGAGACATCGGCCGGAAATGCAGGAAACGCAGGAAACGCCAGCTCCATACAACCTCTCTAGAACTTCAGATATCAATCACTTGGAGAAGACAAACTTTTCATGGCCGCCCTTCGAACTCCGTAAGGACCTAAAAATATATATGTACGGAACCTGTGCTCCTTGTGGCGATGCCAGCATGGAGCTTTGCATGGCCTCTCAAGAGGATCCGACACCATGGACGATGCCTCACCTGAAAGCCGATAACGACCTCGAAATCTCCAATAGCAATGATTGCGATACCAATGGAGCAAATAATACTTCACACCGCGCCACGAAGCTTCTAAACGGCCGCGCTCACTTCTCCATACTCGGTGCTGTGCGCCGCAAGCCTTCTCGTGCCGACGCGGAATCAACTCTGAGCAAATCTTGCTCAGACAAATTGGCAGTGAAGCAGGTGACATCGCTTCTGACATTTCCAGCGTGCCTACTCATTGCCCCGAGCCCAAATGCTTATTTGACAGCACTGCTGCTTCCGGAGGAGGAAATAAGTCGTGTGGCATGCGCGAGAGCTTTTGGAGGTGGTGAAACTGGGCGGCTTAGAGCATTAAATGGGCGGATATGGAGCGATGATGATGGAACGACTGCGTTTCTAGGTGGGCGGGTAAATTATGCACTCCACCCGTTTGATGTTCGTCCCGTCCCCACCGTTCAGTTCCAAGAGGAGTGGGCGTTTGGGAAGCCGAACCGAAACGATGGGAAGATGAAGAAGAAATGCAAATCGGGAAATATCTCTGCCGTTTGGACAGCTGCTCCATCATCTACATCGGCGAACGGGGGATGTGGGAAAGCAAAATCAACGACCAACCTAAATGAAACTCTGGTCAATGGCGTTAAACAAGGTTACCACATTTCTTCGCCCTCACCACGGAAAGCAAGCGCGCTGTCCCGCGCAAAGATGTGGAGTTTACTAAGGGATATTGCGCAACTTTTGCCCTCCACTGATGAGTATTGTGGGAATAATACGAGCACAATCCAGGAAGGTAAACTCGAGGAACATATGAGTACCGAGAGAGCGTTGGATAATACACAAGATAATGCGCTACTTGCGACATTAAAAGACTATGTGCTCATAGAGCAAAATTATTATCTGATGAAGAGGGGATGTGTCGAAGTGGGCCTCGGTCCCGTGAAGGTTAGAAAGGAGGCGATTTCGGATGTGAGGGAGGCGCTGGGAAACTGGGTTGAGAATCGGGGGGATGATAACTGGGGCTTGGAGGTTTTGAATGAACTCAAAGCCGGAATGGTTGTGGGAAGGGTGTAACATATTTACATCACATGCTGTAGAGAGAGGGCATGTGTCAAGAAAAATAATATTCAATATTGTGTCAAGTTATCAATACATTTAACTAACTAGAAGTTAGTGATTAGCTATTGATTTTAATAGGGTTTACTATAGATCAGTCAGAACTCCACACCTCTCGAGAGGGATGGATAATTACACCCGGTGCCTAATTAAACCTGGCCAAGAGCCCCATCAGAAAAACTAAATTAAATGATGCGAATGTATTTCCCAGCATATGCGCTGCCGATTAAATTTCCTTTTGAACGCAAAAAATCAAAGAAAGGAAAACGGTGGCATCTTCACATCATGCCAGTGGAACATTAATTAATAAATCCCTGGTACAATCCTGCTCTTCACAATGGAAGTATATCTATCCCAATCCTTGCCGTACTTCCTTCTGCATTTTGCCTCGTCTCTTCTCTCCCGATGGAGGAGAAGAATGGTAAAGTACACCATAAAGAAGTACGTTACTGGAATACCCCAACCACGAACCTCAGGGGCCTCGACTGCGCGTTTTTCAATAGCTCCTGTAATTGGATCTGCATGCTCGACCATGAGATAACCGGCAACACCAGTGGGAAGGCAGTATGCCCAAGACATCACCCAATCGCCCAGATAGTTGATATGGCGAGCACAACCCCACCAGCCAGATATCAGCAGACGTGAGCCAGCTGCAGTTTCGATGTACTTAAGGTGCTTTACTCGAGGGTCATTAGGGTTCGTACGGAACCTGTTCTTCTGGTTGTTGGTGCTGCGGAAGACATAATATCCCACTGCCTGAACTCCCAATACCATTGCAATGCCCTGTGGGCCGATATGCAGAGGGTACACGGCAAGGTATCGTGTTTGTATTGAGAAAATGAATGGAACCCAGACAAGATCACCAAATGACAACATGAATCCGAAGCCGTCCATGATCACATCCATTGTGGTAAGTATAGCAGGCTCCATGTAGAAACTATCGATCGCGTAGAAAGCCTGGAAAAAGGTAACGAGTAGTATCGACATCGTAATCTGACCGGAGTTGACTTTGTATTGATGTGCGATGTTGGATAAATTCAAAATGATCCAGCCCAACATACCAGGTCGCATCTCACAGAAAACCTTGATATCGAATATTTTCGACGCTTCACTGACAAAGGGGATAGGAAGGGTGATTCGCGGATTGAGTTCACGGCCCATGAAGAAATCGTAAATTAGATTGCCACTGCTACCACCGGGTGCAAGTTCACGGTGTGTCGGGTTGGGCTGTCCCGGAGCTGGAACAGTGAAGCTTCGAAGGTAGACAAAAACTGACAGTGCCACGGAGATAACGAGGTTTGCGGTGATGACTTGAATATAGTTGTCCCAAAGAAAAGTCCACACTGGGAACTCTGCCCCGAATTTATAGCTCCCCACAGCGCATCCCCCCAGGACCAAAATAGTGGTAAGAAAGGCTATAAAAAAAAAATCTCTGTCAGACTGCTGTCAAGTCATCTCGGCCCGTTGAAAACATTACTCACTGTTGAATTTATACTTGTGTCTTCCTCCACCTGCTAGAACTACTCCGTCTACCTCTTGCCCCGGTAACACAATTTGGAGAACCAGCAGGAGAAGGTAGTAGCCCAGGACATAAAGGGTTACTTGGCCATCGTAAAGGCCCCTCAGACCATTTTCAGGCCATCCAACTTCTCGCTTTAAGGTATCAAGCACAAGAGTAGAAGGATGGAGGAGGGATGGTGCTGGACATCCGGAAATATCGTTGCAGATGAAGGGAAATATATAGATGAGAATCGGGAGAACGATGATTAGGATAAAAGTCCCTGGGCTAAAAACGGCAGGTAAGTAACAGCGAACAATTTACCAATTAGTACGTAGGGATGATGAAAGGAGACGTACGGCCCAAAGAACTCATATCCATGCTTCTGAAATGCCTCCGCAGGAGTAAGTGCGGCCTTCTTTTCAGCAACTTTTTTTTCCGCTTTTCCAGCCATGGCAGCGGATCGGAAAATATACGGAGACAGGGGAATTTAGATTATCTGGAAAGCATCTGGAAAGCATCAAACAGACACAAGGGAGATATTAAATATATTTTGTGTATCGCATTGCACTAGCTCGGTGAAAAAGGGGCAATGTCGATAGTCAATTGCCCAGCGCCGTGCCGGCGTGGTCGGAACCGCCTCCAAAAAATAAGGCCATCGCTGGTCGACGCGGCTCGGATCCATGGATCGCGGCTAATTGACGAAAAAGGATTAGCGCATCATTCTCCTTTCGGGTGAGTGGGGTCTTGGCGCGCGCCAATGCCACCTGCCAGTAACGTCCATGAGATCGACCTGACAGCCCAAAACCATCCACATACGCCGCGGGGAGTACAGTCCCCGCCATCACTCTTCGCTTGTTGTTTATCTACTGCCTAGTTCTAGTTGCTGCCCCTGGATTTTGCCCGATAAGCGGTGTTCCCTCCTTCCGGTGGAAGCCCCTCGTGGCTCTCTGCTTTTCCTACAGTCTCCTATCTCCCTGCTGCCCCTTGGCGCAGCTGATCAAGTCCGCGTCGAGACTCTTCCATCATGCGTCCCGCCAGGTCGACTTTCCTAATCGCAGCCGCCCCGTTACTCTTTCTATGCTCTTCTACCTCCGGAGCTGAACCTTTACGAAATGGACTAAAACCATGTACCATATTCTCACCAACGACGGGCGCCTATTTTGATCTTAATGCAATAGCGCTATCACCGCCAGTAATTAAAGATGGGAAGAAAGTTCACAATAAAGATAGGGAAGAGAGTTGGCATGCTAAAGGATACGATTATCCCGCAAATTTCACATTAAACATCTGCGCTCCTGTTATCGAAGATTTGAAGGATGTGGTTGGAGTGGACGAGTCCAAATGGGCAAACGTAAGCGCATACTATACATTAGATGGGAAAATGTATTCCATAGGGTACGTGGATTGGTAACAAACTAGGCATTTTGGATGGACGGGAGACATCTGCTAAAGGGTATATATTCCCACAGGCAACAATCATCAGAACTCGTTTTCCGCGGACGTAGCCTGGTCCTCAACTACACCGACGGTTCCCCTTGCCCAGCGCTGACATCATCGAAGGCCAGTGGATTCGGAACCACAGACCAAACTCCCAATAAGGACAAGGTATTGGGCCAAGGTGATGATAATGGCCATGATAAAGATAAAAATCAGGATGACAAGACCGATGATAGGGACAAACATGATGGAAAGAAGGGGGGAAATTCTTCTGATCACGAACCTGCTGATTCATCCCGCCGAAAATCTACTATCTTGTCCTTCCTATGCGATCGGGATCTGGTGTCCCCAGCGGCAAGTGTGACGTTTGTCGGAACTCTCGATTCGTGCACCTATTCCTTTCAGGTACGAAGCGCCGCTGCATGCGGCGGTTTTGCACGCACTGACGGTGGACTGGGTCCAGCTGGTGTCTTTGGTGTGATGTATGTTTATATATACCCCATGCGCTGGAAATGAAAACCCGTGTTGGAGTGGTAAAAGTATACTAACTCGGCTTTTTATTGTCATCCAGTGCATTGATAGCCATTGCTGTATATGTTCTTGGTGGATGCGCGTATCAACGAACGGTAATGCACCAACGTGGGTGGAGACAATGCCCGAATTACAGCATGTGGGCCAGTGCCGTTTCATTCCTACGGGTAAGTTCATTGTCTATACTATCGTCCACCGCATCACTATCCCGAGCCCGCACACGTGGCAGCGCCGCAACAACATATCCGCCACACGGCAAACGGAGAAACCTTTCATTGCCTGTTTCACGGCTTGATTGACTTTTGCTTCTTCCGCCTTGATTTTCCCCTATGTGAGAATGCGAGTGCAAATATCAATTAGGCTCAATTTTCATCGTTACATCGAGCTTTCTTTTCCTTGGGTGGCAATTCGCTTGCCCGAAAATCTCTGTTGTAGCTATTGCTTTCTTGACATCATTTATCAATCATCCTTGCTCCACCCTTCGGCCGGACTCCGTCGCGCAGACGGATGATCTCCGCTGTTGCAACCATCCTTACTCGCCCGTGCTCCTTTTGATTTTTCACCTACAATGCTTCGTGTGTATATAGCATCAATTTTATTGTGCATTCCCGGTCTCTTCTTTTGCGCCTACCATTGTTCCTACCAACACTCCACCCCGTTTTGTATTCATTTTTCTTTGCAATTTTTTTCTCCATCACCTGAACCTGAGCCTATCCTCGCATCAAATTCCCCCCGCTGCCGCCGCTAATCTCTTATCTGCACGGCGTTGAAAACAATTCAGAAAAGGACAACTAAAAAGGGATGAACAACAAAATACTAACCGAACAACCAACCAACTCTAGGACGTCTTCATAATACTCTTCGCCTCCTTGTGTCGTTGTTTCAGCTCTAGCAATTTCAAATCTCCAACGGGATACTCACCTTTCTCCAATTACAACCACAACTCCAACGACAGGAATGCAGGAGGGTTCGTTAGTGCCTTCAGTGGCCGCCGGGGTAGCGGTGGCGGCGCCGGTGGGAGGGGCAGGCGGATAGATGTGGATGAAGAGAATAGGTTGATTGATCAGTTGGATGAAGAGTGGGATGATTGATTGGTAGGTTTCCGACTTATATATATATATATGTGCGTGTGTGTGTGTGTGTGCGTGTTGTGTATATTTACGTGTCCATGTTATCTATTTCGTCCTTTTCATAGCTGGGTTTAAACAGGGAATTTGGGAAAAATTTGTCTAATTTCCCTTCTATGCAAATATATTTGGAAGATTTTCTTTTCTTGGCAATGGGCTTGTGATTGGGGGGGCGGCGAACAAACGTAAGAAAGGACGTTGCGCATTCGACTCCCATAAGATTGTATGCAATATATGTGCATATCGATAGATACAGAGTTATGAAAGACACAGCTGAAGAGTTTTTTTTTAACTGCTATTCTACTACATCATGCCCATGAATTTGTGGATCAATCTCGTCATAGTAAAACAAAATGATGTAAATTAGTCGGTTCAGCCAAAGACCACCCGATGCAAAACCGCGCCTCGCACCAGAGAAAACTACTATTTTTTTTTTTTTGAAATAGCGAGAGTATATGTACAGTTACATGTACCTACACGAAACCATCATCAATATATATATAGAAAGTTAAGCCAAACCCACCAAAAGACCAAAAAAAAAGGAGGGAAAAAAAAAAAAAAAGAATTGGCAATAATGTATCTATGCAACATTTGCTTTGGTTCGCCACTACTAACGATACCCCTGGAAAAATCCGCCAAGTCAATTTTTTTTCACAACCCCTTGCTTGGTTGGTAATCCACATCCAGCACTGTAAATTTTGCGAATGGTGGTCGTTAGTTTAAATGTGATAGATACTGTACACAAGCAGACGTGAGAGGCACACACAGAGAGACGATTGGAGGAGATTGCTTCGCTGACAGAAAGAATCTCACACGCTGTCTTAAGGCGCTGGTGAGCTTGCAATATGTATGTACGCACATGCAAAGTGCAAAGCAAATATCTGAATAACGTCCTAAACTTGGGAAATTTGAAAAGTCCGGACGAATATATGCACGGAAAGAGAAACGAGCGTAGAAGAAGTTTTCCAAAGAGAAGTTGTCACATGTTACGAGAAAAAAAAAGAGGATGTACCGTACCTCATACTTAGGATTTTCCCTCAGCTAAACACCCCGCTGTCAACCTGGTCTAGTCCTGGCGGGGGGGAGGGGAGGGAATATAAGGGAAAAGAACGGGAAAAGGAACTTCCCAGTTTCCAATTTCTATTATTTCCCTGTTTCAGACGCCAAGGCCATATGCACCCATCATCACATTGGACAATGGGTATGGACCTGGATTATTAGCCAACGCTTGTATTCCAAGTGCCCGTGGCCCAGTTGTATCCACGTTTGTAACTGGATTGGCATTCATGTCTAATAGACCTCGGCCAACGGGGTTCAGATTGAAGGGCAAAAACCAGGCACCGGGCTGTGCGAATTCACCTGACCAGGTGGCAGGCGCGCCTGACATGTCAAATTGAGAGTTCCATACTGTGGGGGAGAGATTTGGTCCTTGTTGCGTCGACACATTTGGGGTTGGGCTCATTCTTGCTGGAGGGTTTACGGGTATTGGATTGGGCATTTGAGGGGATGTCGACGTGGTTGAAGTTGGATCATGGCCCGTATGTGCATCATACACAAATTGGCGATCGAGTTGCGGTAATTGGTCAGGGTTCATGGGGAAGTAGGTTGATTGAGAGAAATTGGGAGCTTGGGCTGGAGGAAGCATGGCATGGGTATTAAGGTTGAAATCTGGGGGACGTGTCGGGTTTATGGGCACATCCACGATGGCATGTTGTAGTACCTGCTGCAATTGGCGTTGAGGCTGTGGTTGCTGTTGTGGAGGTGACTGTGGAGGCGGTTGTGATGGCGGTTGTGATGACGATTGTGGTTGCTGTTGAGGTGACGAATATTGATTATTAGAGTTTATAGAGTTTAAAGCTGGTTGCCGTGGTTCAGTACTTGAGCCTGTCCGTCTCCTTGGTTCCTTGCGAGGGTTATCAGAATGTGACGGCGGTGAAAGACTTGCAAAGAAGTCTTCCGCGCTTTGAAGGCCATAGTTTTGCGCCATCGCCGCATCAAGAGGCCGAGATGGCGGATCCGTGTAATGACGTCGTGAAAGGCCATACGGGTACTTGTCGAACCAGTCCCCATACTGAAATAGTGGAGCATCCTCTTCCTCCGAGGAACTGACCTGCACACCTTTGATGGAAGCATCCGCAAACAGGCGGTATCGATCCTTGGTGCTCTGCACCATATAGTGGAACATTCCCCAGTACCGCTTCATTTTGTTTAGGTATCCGTAGCTGTGGCGAAGGTTTTCTTTCGACGTTGCTTCAAGTCTAGGATTCTTCGAAAATAACCCCCAGATGTGTACGGTGCTGGCTGCATAGGCAGAATAACCAGCGAAGGGAACTGTCAGATTATAGCCTGGCGCCTGATTAACCAACATAGAAATGTGGTTTGCGGCTTCAACAGCCGCACGACCAGCATCGCTAAGAAATGTTCGAGGAATATCCTTTGGGGGCTTTGCCCCTGGCGAGAGGGGGATGGCAAATCGATTTAAAAAGAGAATATTTTGGTGAATAACTATATGTAGGAAGAGGAATTGATTTGCGATCTTTGTCGCCGCGTGGTTGCGCAGGTTCTCCAGACTGAAGGCTAAAGAATTAGGAAGCGAGGCTGAGAAGTCTTCTAGTTGCTTCTTCAATTGTGAGTAGCCTGACTTTGGAGACCAGAGAGGATGAGGATCCCTGTTCCTGCCACCAAGGTTAAGGTAATCTACGGCCCTCCCCCAAAGCATCAACGCCCGAATTGTATATGCAGACACACCCATATTTTCCTTCGGATTAGATAGTTGGCCCACGCCCTCGGGAAGTGGGTTAAGGACCTTACCTTCCAGATCCTCTGTGGGCCCTGGAATTTCCATTTGGAAATATGACTCTTTGATAGGGAGCTGTAGGCGTAGGAACTTCTCGTTGCCAATAGGTGGCCTCTGGCTGCCAGAGGAATTATACCGATCCATCAGTACACACGCCCACATCGTCCGCCGTCGGATCTCACGATCTGTAAAACTAAATTCGGACGCACTATTGCCCCGAGGATCATCGTCAAGTTCTCGATGGAGCTGAAGAGCGTAAGCCATTCTAAAGGCTTGACCTCCAAACGACCAACTCCGTCCTCCATGACAGGCGCCAAATTCATGGAGCCCCAAGATGATAAATACAGTGAGCATCGTAATGCTCGGCTCGTCATGTCTGCTGAGCGCAATAGCTGCGGCCGGATTTGCCCAGTTTTCTCCCCGTAAAAATGCCGGCTCAGTACTGACGAGCGGGTGTGTTGAGAAGCGAGCAGAAACGGCGCAGATGGCCAGCATCAGAACAGGCGGAACAGTTCCAGATTTCAATTTGCGCATAAAACTTGGTTTATGTAGCAGGAGATAGGACTGTCCGTACACACAATCGAAGAAGACTTCCGCGAGATGTTCTTGGAGCTCAGTTGAGGGAAGAAACTCCGCGCCCTCGTTCAAAAGCTTATTGTCATCTTCAATCCGGGGCTGCCATGAAGTAGGGTTACCTTTGTTGGGTTGTCTCCACTGATTAAGCTCAGCACGGAAAGCCTCATCTGCAGGTCTCTTTCTGTGGGCTGGCCTTGATCCACGAGAGATCTGGCCTGGAGCAGGAGGCTTGACGACCGATCTTCCAATTGCGGCCATATCTCGGGTGCCATTTTTGGGTATGATCTTGATCACTCTTTCCTCCATCTTCTTCAACCGTCTATCCAGCATCGCCATGTAATCCGTGCGGGGTGCGGCTTTTCGCGTCGTGACTTTATATACGCAAGGGGTTCTAGAACGGTAACAGTGTCTGCAGGCAGGTTTCTCTCCTGAACAGCGAATTTTCTTTCTTCGACAGGCGATGCAAGCAAGTGGGAGTCTTTTGCGCTCCTTGCCCGCCTTAGTTTTTAGTTCGCTCCATGGACGAGGGTTCTCTGTGTCTCCATGTCCCCTGGCTGATACGGAGCTTTCACCAGAATCCCTAAAGTCGCCAGTGTTCGTAGCAGTCTTGTTTTGTCGCGCCATATCTTCCTGCACTCCTTGCGCGACCTGGTCTCTAGAGCTGCTGGAGCTCTCGGAACACACTCCGTCCTCCATGTCGGTGCTAAGATCGTGCGTATAATTTAGGTGGGTGGGAATAGATAAGACCAGGGAAGTTGGCCGTGGAAGCAAATGCACTGCGCACGGGTTATTGGGCTAGCTTGACACTCAGATGGTGCCGCATTGCTCAGATCGGAGAGTGAGTCCGAGCGGGCCACATCGAAAACGAGGAAATAGGGCGAAGATGGCTGCACAAGCAGTTCGAATAGGAACTATCGTAGTTAGGAAGAAAACCAGGGCCAGATTCCGAAGTGACGACAAGGAAAGTAGGGCGAGAAAAAGAATGTGGAGTCCACGAGATTCAGAGGCAGCGGAAGTCCGTCGAGATGGCCATCGGAAGCCAGCCGAGGAGGAAGTCTGGGGTTTGGGCGATGCGGCTTGGAGACCGGTGTCTTGGCCCGAGTTCGGGCAAGTTGGCGGCTTGGCAGTCCCCAGCGCCAGTCTCCGTAGCTCACCGAACCCTGGAATCCGCATCACACGACGAGGGAAGGGAGAAGGGGAAAGAAGGGGAAAGGAAAAGAATGGGAAAGGTAATGCCATCCACGGCCAGAATGTCAGCTGGGCCGTATCCTGGCTGGCTTCGGAAGTATATATATATATATATATATATAGGCGTAAAACTCCTTGTGCTCGCCGCCATCTAATTTCCTTTTTTACTTCGTTGACGTTTCGTTTTCAACTTCTTTCCTTCTTTTCCTTCCGTGTTCCATAGCGCGCCTTTGAAAAGGTTGGAGCTTGTTCCAAACTGGAACAAAATCACCACAAAGTGTGATCCGTTGGAATGTATGTGTAGTACATTACCACCGCATTCAATTTGATATATGGGATTTTCCGAGTCGAAATACTAAAAAAGGTTACGCTTGGGTTTTGACCCAGCTTCGGAGAATCATAATTTAGATATTCGTCCATTATAATGCAGAAAGGAAATTGGAGAATCATCAAGTCCATGCCATCAGTCAGATATTATCATCGGTCTATAGATATTTGAAATATGTCATCAGTTATGCCGTGCGCGCAAAGAATCAGTGACTGAAACTGATCTGCATATACCAAGAAAAATAATCATCAATGCACTTGTAGGATCCAAATAAAGAAAAGTAGAAAGAAAGTGAGAAGAAGAAAAGAAGAAAAAAGAAATCAAAAAATTAGAAATTCTCCCCTTCTAATTTAATGCAAAATGCAAGGGCAAGTTGCATCACAACAAAAAAAAAAGACAAAAACTCAAGTTTGCCCCCGCGCGGGATTGAACCGCGGACCTCATGATCTCATCAGTACAAGTCATGCGCTACTACGACTGAGCTACAAGGGCTTGTTACAGGTATTTACCATCCCACATTCGCATTATTTTCCAGCATTGGTGCTTAGTAAGCTGCCGGAATATTGTTACCCCGCGGAAGAATCGCCCCAAAGCGAGCAACTTATCTCAGCAAGCTCAGACCCTCTAACTACCTCCGGAGACAAAACAATACAAATTTCAAGGCACTTTTCCGGACACGGACTGTATAGAAAGCGGTCAATGTCGCGGTGTGATGGTGCTCGAGTCGAAGTGCGTACTAGTATGTGACATGTGAACAAGGGCTGAGGCATTGGTGCACTGAGCAGGTGCCAAATAGCTTGCACCTTCTGGAACCCAAACCACGTTTTTTTGCCCACAGTTGGCGTATTGACCCGAACAAGGATTGCTGATGGTACTGTCAAGACATCGAGCTACCCTTTAGTTAGCGAGGATCTGCATGGACCAGAATGCACACTGGGCACTGGGCAGCCGTTCGATAGATAACTAAAGGTGATATCACTTAGCTCCACAGGTGATCTGCCATCGCAATGTTATTCTCATTAAATATATATTATCCCATCTTCAAAATCTAATAACCAGCCAATTCAATGACTTCTACATATATTTAATAGAGAATATGATCTCAGAAGCCCCAGCCCCAAAAGCTGATATTGAAAAGTCCAATATTAAGACCAGGTCCCGCTGCCTATCCAGGGGAGGTTCCCAGGACCCCGCGAGGACAGAGCTATATAAGGTTATTACAATATGGTGTCATCTCGGAAGGGATTTAGATAGAAGAGTCAGATATTGAGGCAGTAGAATGTAGGGGTGAGATTAAATGATTCACTGGTCCCTAGAAGGTTAAACATGATGTCATAGGTAGATTGAATCTGATATGATGCTGATGACATCACCTTGGATCTGTGATGCTATGTCTTAGCGCAATTATCTTATCTGATCTAACATCAGTTGTGTGCTTTGATCTAGTTCTGATATCTTAGTATAGATTTCTTATAACTACCCTCTCTGAAAGAGCTGCTGTCTCAGTGAGCTCAGAAATTATAGAGTATCCTTTGTGCTGGTTAGCAGGGCATTCAGACTATTGAGCCCTTCACCATTGGCCTGTGTTGTGGCAACACTGATTTCTGCTTTGGGGATGATCACCAACACCACATCATCATCATCTTCAGCTCATCCCAGCTGAGCAATATAGCTTACATGTTTTCAGATCCAGTTAGCATCCCAAAGTATATGCATGGACTACTAGCGATCAATGGCTCATCTTATTGCGGAATTGGGAAATATAGACCAATAAGAGTAAAACGTTTTTCTTTTCTGTGAAGTATTATCCTTGCTTCTCAATGCATTCCTCAAGCAGCACAGGGTGGCCAATACTAGCGATCCTGACATCCCATATTTCCTTCAAAACCGCTTTTACCAGCTCATATTGATGCTGACGTGCTGGTGTGTTGCAGAATGCAAAGAGTAGAGTAAAATAATAAATACTGGAAGCTTCATCTCCATCACCGGTAAAAATAATAGAACGTTCCAAGTGTGATAAGATAACACTATGGCCACTAGGTTATCCATAGCAAAAAGCCAACGTAACCATTTGTTAAATGGTTGCGCTCATAGTGGGGAAACCACACAAGTACAAAATTCTTCGGTTTACCCGACGGGCTCCCGGATTAATTTCCTGTTGAATGAAAGAGAAACTGATCACTCGATGCTACAGAGTGAGAATTAGCCACTAAATCCTTGAACTTGTGAGAATATATCAGGTTAACAAACCGAAACAAACAAATGAATTTGCCTTGAAAACTTAATTGTCGTGGGCAGAGTTTCATTGCGTGAACTCGATCTGAAAGTCGTTCCGATTGAATTGGAGCAGAAGCCCGGGACCGCTGAGTTTTATTAGAACGGAGTTTCTTTAATTCAAAAGTCCCAGTTAGCTTACCTGAAACCATAGGACAATATCCCCTCTCGACATGTCCTCCAGCTTCCAGATGCCCTTATATCCGATCAACTCTTCACTACCGGAGAGGCTTGCAGTATTTTTCTGGAAGAAGAATCTACAATAATTTTGTCTATGGAAAAGCTTGCACAGTGATGTTTTTTCGAAATCGACAAAAGTAAATCTTGTCGTTTCGCTATGGTCGATGATCGAAGATACCCAAAGACAAATAAGCAGAATTTATGGAAAGTGCAACACCCGATGTCGTTCACTGTTTCTTCGTTTTCGTTTGCTCCTGATATTCGGTGTCTTCTCCGTTATCGTATGGGATGGATTCGTTCGGGTTCGGAACTATTTTTATTCAGTTAGTGATAGCTCAAAAACGCAGAAAAGCCATCTAAAAGCGCACCATAATACCCTTCCTTGCGCAAATTTGCGACCAACTGATCGCTACTGAGGTTTTCGACTTCGCTCATCATTTTCTTGACCCATATAGAGCGTGCTTCACGCTCCTTTTCTTCGTCGCGTGTACGCGGAGGATCGGCTGTTACCGACGTGTTTCTTTGTTGAGATGCCATTGTTAAAATACATAAGCACAGCACTGGCCAGTCGAATTGCCTAGTAGGGCACGGATCGATCACGATTGTTGAGTAATGATAATCGCCTTTGAAGCTCTGGGATGAGGGAAACGACGTGAGTAAGGACAAGGCGATCAGAAAGATGGTGAGTCAAGCCAGAGATAAAATGATGAATGCGGAGAGAACGCTTGTATAAACTTTGATTTAAAGTGACGGAGTAGGAATTATCTGAAAGCTATTTAAAATCTGCTGCTGCCTATTACGAACTAGCGCACCGCACTTGCCTGCCTTAACTGTCTACTTATTTTTTTATTTATTTTATTTTGAACCTTCCAATTCTTCGCTCCGACTACGCGCCTAAAATATTTTCGCCCACGAGCAAGGAAGATTTAAGAACCTCAATTTATTTCACTGAAACAGCTATGCATCCATCCAAGAACCTTTTCTCTAGGGGAAAAATAGTAGTGCTAAAATTTTTCGTATTGCAAAAATTTATTACGATAAAACATTAAGGAATTAGGCGCGAATAATCGCTGGTTAACGATATAAAAATTAGACAGTGCTAAACAAGAATTTGGTATCGTACTGTAAGTCAGGGGGAATCGGAATCGGAAGCTCGAACCCAGGTCTACCCTTGAGATGTCTCTGACGCTCATATTCGGGAAATATCAATAAAAAAGAAAAAAAGAAAAAAAAAGCAGGGGGGACATTATGTCAATAGTTATTAGATACCAGAGGTGCGGAAAGTAGTAGCTTCCGCGATGAGCTTCCCACATACACGGTTTTCGGGTAGTCGCTAATCACCCAATTCTGTGTCACAGGGTCCCAGTTTGACAAGTCACGTCGGGTCAGTATTGACGTCCAGATCTTCGCTTCGCCGGCTGCAAGAGTGAAGCGGTCGAAATTTCGGAGAACGACTTTGGCATCGTTGGGGCCACCCAAGGATACGTACTAGATATTTGAGCTTTATGTTAGGCATTTTCTTTCTCTCTTTTATTTTCATTTTAAATAAAAATAAAACATGTGGATGTGGATCTAAGTCCTTACCAATTGTGGCACTTCATCTCCAGTAACACTACCTGTGTTAGTAATAGTCGCCGTCACACGATATAATACTTCATAAAGACCAGGATTTCCACCGGGTCCCCCACCAGCAGGAAGAAGTTCTTGTGGAGAGCCATCGGTTGCGCCAGGAGGGATATAATCTTCTTTCTGTAGTCCGTAATGAGAGTCCATGGAGGCTTTTGCGGGATCAGTGACGTTGAGCCAAGGATATATATAATATGTAACACGGTCCATTCCCTCAGGGAAGAGATATGAGCTCAGGTTGCGATCAGATTCACCAAGTATCGGAGCTGGCTCCGTTTTGCCCCGGGTGGGCATGTAGGGTTCAGAGCGTACGACTTCAACATTCAAGTCGGAATATGAAAATGAAGTGTAGCTAAGCCCAAAACCAAATTCGTAGATGGGTTTTATGTCCGCCTTGTCAAATGCTCTGTAATCTGTAAAAATGCCTTCGGTGAAATCTACTTGAGGTGCGCCGTTTCCTTCATTTGGCTCCTTCAAAATGGATGCGCCGTAATCCTCAGCGGTTCTACCCCACGTGAAGGGGGTTCTGCCACCTGGGTTGACTTTTCCATATAGAACATCAGCAATCGAGTTACCGCTCTCTTGGCCAGGCAAACCAGCCCACAAGATTGCAGTAATGTTTGGGTGTTCATTCCACTCGCCAACCAAGACGGGTCCAGTACTATGTATCACGACAACGGTATTGTTGCAATATGATGCCACGGTTTGGATCAATTCATCACCTCCTTTCCAAAGGGTTAGATTCTTACGATCTCCTTCATTCCCATCAATGGAAATGAATCCTTCTCCAGAATCGGCATTAACAAAAACTAGCGAAACTGTAGCTTGAGATGCCGCTGACTTGATCTGATCCGATGCCCAGTTATCAAAAATCGGGAACACAGAACCTTCTCCCTGAGATAAGATCTCGTTCTGGATTGCTTCAGCTGGTGTCACCAGATATGGGAAATCGGCGGTACCGCTACCCCACCCCATCGCCAATGTGCCGTTATCACAACGTCGATCAGGGCAGCCGTTCGGGCCCCAAAGGTTTGGCCCAGCATCTTCCCCAATGACCGCAACATTTTTCTCCAAACCGGTCAGAGGGAGGCTCACGGTATGTTTAAGAAGCACGACGCTAGCTGCCCCAACTTGTCGGATGATACTGGCATGCTTGGCTCGAACATTAATTCTCTCATTGACTTTACCGTAACCTTCTTTAACGAGAGCATGCGTATAGCCGTATTCATCTCGAGTCCAGGAATTGAAATTGACGGGTACTTTAGCCGCTTCCCGGCCAACTTTGAAATAAGCCGCCATAATTCGAACAGCCATATCATCCACTCGCCATTCCGGGATAGTTCCATTAGCGACTGCAATTGTCAAGTTGGGTCCCCAGTAAGATCGGCCTGTCCCAAACACAGTATCGCCCGGCATTGACATATCTAGGCCAGCCAGCGCAGAGCCAACTCCGCTATGGTGAGCCTGCCAGTCGCTCATAATAAACCCCTGGAATCCAAGTTCAGCCTTGAGTAGTTTGTTCTGTGTATAGCTGTTTCCGCAGCCGTAGCTGTTATTAATTTGATTGTATGAACACATAACGGACCCAACTCCGGCTCGAACTGCATCCGCAAATGGCCTAATAGCAGTCAGCTAGTGTATATAAAAGGCACAGAAGCAACACCCACCAGAGATAGAGCTCATGCATGGTTACATCGTCAATATTGGAACTTGAACTCTCTGAGATATCGAAACCATACCCTTGAGCCTCAGGGCCCTGGCGGAATCGCTCTTGCTCGTTGCCTATGAAATGCTTGACACAAGCAATGACGCCGGCACTTTGAATTCCCTTGATGGTCTCCGCAACAAGGAGCCCGGAATTGACAGGATCAGGGCTGAAACCTTCCCAATTCCGCCCTCCATCTGGCGACCTGCCCAACGGTCCAACCACAGGACCCAATACAACGTCGACACCTTTATCTCGGTGCTCCTCGCCCATTGCTTTGCCGCGAAGGTAAGCAAGCTCTTTACTAAATGTTGCGCCGACATTAACCCCGGCGGGGAAAGCAGAAACATAATCGGCTGGCTAGAGTTAGAAAATATATCTGCATGAGGGCGTCATCTGGGTTGCTCACCAAATCGAATTCCAAGAGGGCCATCTTGCATGCAAAGCGAATGCAAGCCCATGCGAGGAATTGACCCGACTTGGCCCACGCATTTTTCTTGCATCCATCTGATACCCCAAATTAGCACTAGCACATCTAGCAACGGCATCTATAGCCCTTTATATCCACATAGCGCAACCCGTATATCAAGGCAGATATAATTAGTATAGAACAAGAGAGAGCGTACCCGACGCCCGTTGTTAAATTGACCTTCTCGACCAGGGTCAATTGAGAAACAAAATCCCGTGCTCTTTCGACGGCATCTTCCCAGCCTCCCTGTCCAGATGCCCACGGAGATGGATAATATGGAGGTGACTGCGTGAGGTGTTCCTAGTTTTTTACCATCAAGTCAATTACTTCATCTTCCCCTCATTTTTGGCAGTCCGCCTGGTCTATTCTTCCCTCTTGATAATCTCATCAAGTATAAACCGTTGAATAACAGGGGCAAACTTACTGCTGCAACGGCCAGGCTAGCAAAGGCAATCGGCAAAAGATCAAGTACGCCACCCCGCATAGTGATATTATGTAATATGCAAATGAGAACTAGTTAGTTAGTTGACTAGCTGCTAGTACTAGTTATATCATCTCATGTAGTGTAATTCATTCCATAGGAACAAGAAACAGGAAAAGAGAGGAGTAAAAATAGAGAGAAGGCGGAGGTGGAATTCTTTTTTATGACAGAAAACCTCCAGACTCGCGCCGTTGCTGCTGCGATCATCCCAGTATGGAAGGTTGCGTGCTGATCGACACCCAAAATAGTGAGACATCTCGGAAGCACTAAATTATATTGGGTTTATAGTTTAGATTGTTGGAAATCTACTTTGCAATAGGCTTCCGGCATGATGAGGATGCGTAAAATTTGAGTTCTAGATGCTAGAAAAGGCATCTATTCACCTTCCAGAAAAATCAATAGGCGTCATTGTAAACCTATCTATTCACTAGTTAGCGTGAGAGCACACTTTCAAAATGCTTCTCCGGGCATGTACTGTCCGAAGGGGAGAAAATTGTTTTGAACAGTATTTCAGCAAGTTTCCAGCAATGTGCCACCTGCGTTGGCTTGAAGTAACCTTCCTTCCAGACCCAGTCCAAGTTAAGGACGGGCATATCTGGGATAGATATCTCCATCGGCCATCGGAGGTTGGGACTGGTCGAGGCTCCAGAGTCAAAATGATTAAAAGCCAAAAACCGAGAACGGTGAGATCGTTAAGTTAATGAGTTTAACTTAAAACAACCTAGGATTTTCCCGAAAGTTTCCCGAAGTGCAGCCTCTGCTGAAATACTACAGCATACTGTACAAGATCTGGTATACGTATTAGATCCTGGTCACAGAGCAGTTACCAGGGTTTTGAATTGGCCAGACGCCGTCAGTAACTTTCCCCCGCATGATCTCCGGCCCAAATCGCATTCCAGATTATTTCAGAAGCGATTTAACATGGAGCTACCGTACGGTTGCCTGTCTTGACATGATTAGGGGGCCCTTGTCCCATTAGTGCCATATTCTCCACACAGCGCTCTTCCCTTAGACGAATGAGGAATCATATCGCCGGCGGAGGTCTCCGGAATTCAACGCATTTCCATAAAAAGAGAGGTTAAATGAGCCGAAGAGATGGCCTTACGAATAAACGGATTCCTGTCAGCTGAAATGTCAAGTGGGAGGCAACAGCGCAAATATCCGCTGTCAATGCAGCTAGGGATTTGATTTTTCTCAATAATAGCCAGGGTATGCATCTGTCGACAGCCTGAATTACGATACATCTTTGTGATCAATGTATATCTCACTCAGACGTTCTTACCATGAACAAGAGGGGGGATTTTCTTGCTACACCCTCCTTCTATTGATCTCGGAGATCAAGGTAAGCAGTTTTAGCAGAATAGGACCTTGGATCCATTCGGCTCCAGGGCTAGCCTCCACTTCCCACTGTAGAACGTTTTATTTCCAACATCGTTCCAGTGGATAGCAGCGAGGGTTATTTTAGCGACGACTAAATAAGGAGATGGCTAATAGAAAGTGATCTTTACCACAAAACAGATTATCTAACCGCCAATTTAGGCAAAATTATGGTTGCGTTTGAAATTGTCGTGGTTGTTATTCCCTAGCAGTGTCAGCCGGGCGCTTTATTCTTGCCCCTTCGACTGTCCATCTCCATCAGCGTGCTTTTCGCGGGAAAGAAGCTGGTCTGCTTTTTTCATGGCGTAGCGTATTTCTGAGCGCTGCAAATGGGTCTTCGTAAACTCTTCCATAAGGGTCCAAATAATATACTCGAGGTTTACCATGACCTCTTGTAGAATTTTTTGTCACCTCCCATGTCGTTTGAACCATAACAGTAAAATTCACCCTTCACTCCGGTTTCTTCTTTACAGGACGATTTTCCACCTTTCCTTCTATCCAATTTTCTATTTACTGGGTGGTTGGCTTCACACAGAAAGGAGACCTCTCGTCAATTCCACTTTGTTTTCGCCCCTGTAGTGTTCATTAATATATCGCCTTTCATCATTACTTGCCCATTAGCTGGAAGAGAGCGTTGAAGTCTAAGAGACGTAGGAAAGCTCAACAAAATACAAGTTCAAAGAAAATCTACAAGAGCTGTGGAGTTCAAAATATTTGGCAGATCCATTGGCCTTTCACGGTCAATGTCTCCGCTACCATCGTGATAAAACAAAAAAAGAAAAGAAAAAAAAGTGGGGGGCAGGATGCAAAGCTTCCCGGAAGGGTGTCAAGAAATAAGTCATTATGAGGCCCATTGTTCGTGTATATGCCTTTTATCCACACCATCATGGATGATGAGCCGACAAATAGCATATGGAGTCTACAGATAACCAACAATCTGTAGAACCGAGTTCAAGTTGAGAATGTGTGAACGTATGTCAACGATTTGATGTTCCCAAATGATACCATCGTGAGGAGAAAGCAATCTCAATTCGTTGGGGCAAAATAACAGAAATTTGCTTTCTTATGGGTGCAATATTGTGGCGTTCAAGTATTTATATAGTAATAAAACTCGCCCAGGACCTTCATGCGGTTCAATTGAGGGAATAAAGCATCAATATATATATAAAAGGAACTTTAAAGCGTGGTATCGAGTATCAATGAGCGTACTCCAGTTAACGTTGGCAAGCTCTCACGTTCGATGTCAGAGCCATATTCTTCAGCAACAATGTCATGATGAGGAGAGAATGGAGTCGGGTGTTTTGCAAGCTTGAGTACAAAGCAGCAAGCTTGGTGCTGGAATAAAATGTGTAGCGATTTAGATTGGGGTTCACTGAATTAGGCAGCTTAGGCTTGCACGTAGCCTGTAGGCTGTTAGAGCGTAGAGACATGGTCCTAGATGAGGAACTGGCCATTGTTCGCATGGCATTGGCAAGCTCGAATTGAGAAAGAATTTAGGGTTAGGGCTAGGGTTATGTGCCCATGTACTAAGCGCGATAGCCGATCACATGACCTATGCTCATGATGTAACACCACAGATCGGGGCAGTGGAGAACGAATGGGAAGCGCCCAGCCTCGCACTTTACCCCAAGCGGCGTCGCTCACGGAATGCTTTGAACACCCTTGTCCATCGCTTCTCACCCAATTCTCTCGTTCACCTGTATTTCATCATTAGTCAACGGTCGCCATGGTGTCCACGCGCCATCATCCAAAGGACTTTCCCTCGTCAACTTCAGTCAGCCCGTCCAAGTCAGAAAAGGATCAGCGCAGGTCTGTTGGTACTGGGAAATGGCGACATACTCCATCCGCAATTGTGACACTCTGGTTGTCTATATCTGTTCCACTTGTTCTCTGGGATGCTGGCTATATTCTGCTTCGACCACATAGCATGCCTGGCGGGCGCCTGCACTACATTTGGAGTCCGTATGCGCTCTATGGCGCCATCGACCATGTCTATGGCTGGCCTGCATGGAACGACCGAGACGGGTTCCCAAGTGCCCAGAGCCTCATGAACCTAGTTGAAACTGCGTGCTACATTTTTTACCTATTTGTGCTGTTTCAATATGGGACATTCGACCATGGGGGCGGTCGTAAAAGCAAGACAGCGAAGAAGAGCTATTTCTTGGACTTGCGGAAATCAGTTAGCGGAAGGCTAGGAGCAATTGCGCTGCTGGTGGTTTTCAGTGCTAGTGTAATGACAACCAGTAAAACGATATTATATGGTGAGTTCTCTAGTGATCGCCCTGCTGTTGTACATTGTCACTAGCTAATAAATCTCCCCAACCTTTCAGCCCTTAATGAAGTCTGCTCTGGATTCGACCACATAGGGCATAACAGCTTCTGGACTTTGATCTTCCTATGGATAATCCCAAAGTAAGACTAATTACACCATCATGTCCTGCATCGGTTTTCGTTCATTGAGTTAACCAATTACACGTTATGGAATTAGTGGGCTTTGGATTGTGGCTCCTGGGTACGCCTCCTTTTATTTTGGCAGTGAAATCCTAGATGCCATAGCGCCTAGCGACGGTCTCTCCGACACCAACGAGGATTTGAAGTTAAAATAACCCTAATAATATCGACTCTGCTCCGCTTTCCCCGAATGGGGATCTAATACTGGCTCTCGCGTGCATCAAAAGTCTTAACTAATTCTTCCCCACACCCCACCCAACCATCCTGCTCATCGCTAGCTAATTGCACGTTGCCATTCTTTTGTCTCATCCGTTTGCAGCAATACAATAAGCCCGAGAATTTTCTTTGAACTGGAGTTCAAAAAATTGGTTTGTTCCCAAAATTTTTGCTGCTGGTATTTGAGCGTTATCGACGGAGTAATCAGAACGGAATAACAAACAAAGGTTATTTTCATACTGATACCAGGGTTGGATAGTTTTTGATACATGAAAATTTTGATATCATAACCTAGTATCTTAGCACTGGCATGAAAAATTGATACTTCCCCGTCCCTCACGCCAACACTTATGGCCATTATTTGGTGTTTTAGAGCTAACGGCATATATCAATTTTGATTTGAATGGTTCTTGTGATCATACGCTACTTCCCGTAACTCCTTAACTGATACATTTAAACAACAGGGCTTTGCTGCTTGTAGCCGGCCGGGAGGCCAGGTCAACCGATGTTCCCCTTTCTACAATGAGTACCTGTTCGAAAGGTTAAAAGCTGTGGAGTATACCCAATTCCCCAAAGGGATCTATCTACTTAATCCATCAACTTCGAGTATCGTATCACCGGAGTATAGGTACAGCCAACAAGCGCAAGGCGCGTTTCAGTATTTCACTCTCACACTGTAAGCTCATGGCTTCCATTTTACAGATAGTGTTTTCCTAAGGAGCCCAATGATGTGGGAGGCTAATATGGGTACAGAAAAAATTCGGCCATCCTAGCATGGGGAAGCCCATTCTCATAATTTGCTGGGTGTATCCCAAAATATCATATGCTTCTATTGGTCGGGGAAATATCAAACCTCCTCCGGCTACCCAGTCTGTCGGGACAGCCTTCTCTCGCCAAGAGTCCGTAAAGTTTTCCCGCATGAAGGCGATCAGAGCGCAGATTTAGGTGACATCAAAGGACTATTAAATCCTCCAATAAAGATTCCCAGCAAGAAAAGAGTGTTCATAATGGCATTTCGAACCCGCCTTTTGACTACTCTATATTGTGTTAGTGGTGTGGAAGAAGACATAATTTTCGGATCCAGCGAGTCGGGTTTGGATGTGTCGTTGATATTGTCCCGGCCGTGCCCACGTGTGTCTGTTCTGGCTTTCATGGCAGCCGCATATTTGAATTCAGGCGACAGATATCTTGTTGGTTTATTTCTATTGGACTCTGAAGCCCTCTCACAGGAAGTCCCATTGGTGCCCCCTCGATTAAAAACAGCTTTGCCTAGGAGATAGAAGAATCACACGGAAAAAGACGAGTCAAGTAACAACCTTGGAAGTCTGTACTCGGAATGATGAGCACAATTCGACCTGCGAAAATTTTCCTCACGCAAGTCATGAATAGTACAGAAACGAAGTGCCTGGATACCGTGTACGATAGGCCGCAATATACTGCACATGTACAGCACATGCACAGATCTGTACGCTGTATATCGGTCCACAGAAAGTACATACAAGAATGCCAGTCGTAAAATTAGTTGTATGGACAGAACCTAGGTACCCATTACTCCTCTGTGGATCTACCATTCTGTGTCCCCAGACACATTACGCCTTTTCCTTTGTTGGGCTGCCACGCTTGATTTCTTTGTTACCCCCGGTCAGTCCTCAATAACCAACGACTCCAAATAAAATAAAGGAGGGCTCACCAGCCACCCCTTGTTACGCACCCTAACCCTGGACATTATTTGGCATTCTAAGCTCAAATAGGGCAATGGAAGTCCTCCCTGCTGCATTTCCCTGGATCAAACTCTTTGCTAGTGAGCGGTTGGGCGGAATTACATTTACCAGCAGGCAGAATGGACCTTCGAATGTACAGTATGTACAAGAGTACATGGCTATCCATCCCTGCACCCTGGTAGCCCCCTATCTACTCATAACAGTGTCGCAAGCGGTGAGCAAAGCTTTTGAATTATTTTCTCCTGAATGAACCTTCTGACAAGACAGGTCAAAGTTTAGCTCCATTTCCCCCTTAATTTCCAGGAAAATTCTTACTTCCGGTGGTTACTATTAAACGACAAGCAGTGCAGACCGTTATTATATCAATTTTAAGATAAGTATGTCGGCCCTAAGGATATGAGCAAGTTTTGTTATCACCAGACTCACAAACTTTCTAGCTTCACGAGCATCAAGGCACCAACATAACGAGTAAGCATATCCATGAGCGTGAGGCTAATTGCAATGATGGGCAATCAATTAGAGACATACACAAGCCCCGTAAATATATTTTATTCTCCGTTTGAGGGGAAGTCATTATTGTCAAGTCAGGAGGGCCCCCGTACAGCCGTTCCAAGCCAAGTTAGGTATTGACTCGAAAATAAACTCAAAACATTAGCAGGTATATCTGAGGACCAACTCTAAGAGTCCGCCACGAGATACTTTGTGATGTGCACACGAGCCAGTACGAAGAGTACTTCCCCTCCCGATCTGGCTGACGGCTGTGCTGACGGCTATACCCTATTGTTCAATCCGCCTACTAGATGCATTCACTTCACTAGCATCAACCAACTAATTTATCCATATTGTGGGCCCCTGCAGACATATGTTCCTGTACATATCCTGCACATGCAGGGATTTAGGCAGCTCTCTATATCACCTTGATTCTGAGCTCTAATATGTGTGCTGTGCTTATTAGTGGAATCATTTTTCATTTGCCGAAACCCTAAAATGGAGCCGGAAGAGAAAAGAAATACGGAACTTGTCTTTTTCTCGGGGCGGTCCCCTTCCCTCTGTTGGTGTTGTTGATCTTGATCACCTGGAGGAAGAAGTTACTTGTAGCAGAACACATTGCCTTCCCATCATACCCATGTTATTGCCCATCTCATGCTGTCAAGATTCATGAATAGTGAACGCCTAGAGGCTATCTTTCTGCCCGCAGATTCACTCTTAAATAAACTAGTTTGCCGCTTTTATTTATGATTGAAGGAAAGACAAGTCAAGTCTGGACCTTCGCACACAGCTATTGTTATGAGCAGTGTACGGACGTACAGAAGTGGCTTTTTGTCTTGTATTTGAAAAGCACAAAGACATCAAAAATAAGCCTTGAATATCTTGAAAATGTTTGATACGTATAACAGCTATACGAAAGTTGAACTTAAATAAAATCCACGGACCAATGCAATTAGTAATTAAAAATTTAGGGTGTAAGCGAATTGGCGGTTCTGAATTCGGGGCCGCTCGCCCGGAAGAGGAGCAGGACATGCAGACTCAAAAAAGAGAAATGAAACTGAAGGAACTGGAATTGGAAATGAAGCCACTGAGGTACCAAACCAGGGGGAGTGCGGGGCAATGAATAATGGACGCCAAGCGGTGAGGGAGGTGGGAATAGACAGCAACTGCTTTTGAATGGTCAACTGCTCCAGGAAGCCTGGTAACCATAACCGTCTCCGAATCCGGCCTGGAGGTTGGCATCATCAAATGAAAAAGCATCATCTCGCTTTCCGTCCCGAAGTTGCATGGTCGAACCGTCAATCGCGGGGGCAACCAAGTACGAGTGACCATTATTGTGGCTACTGTTGCTGTTCATGGCGTAGGAAAGTTGGGGTGGTTGGGGACGCGATGCAACTCCTGAACCAAGGACCTCGTTCAGGCGATCAAAGATCTTCGTGGCCAAAAAAGCCCGTACAGGATCGTTAGGCTCAGTCCGCACTAAATCCAAGATCATATGAGATAGCCCTGACAATTTCTGGCAGAATTCCCTCAACCCAGGGATTCGGTATAACCAAATATGCACCGCGGTCTCGAATGTGGTTTCAGGATTGGGATTGTCGAAGGAGTATGCGGGGTCGATTAGGAGCACTTCGTCGGTATTGAGCATCATTCTCAATTTGTTCCAGTAATTACCGTAACGAATGTAATTGCTGCACCTGCTCGACAGCTCCTCGAAACTATAGTTCATTGCCTTCTGATGTTGCTCTTGTTGTAGCCTAGTTACTATCGCCGTTATGACGGAGTTTTCTAGCGAGTGATTATATGGCAGTAGTGGTGAAGAGGAGTTTTGCTTTAGCCGTTCACTTTCGGCAAAGACTTCGATATACATTCGGCGCCTTCCAAGAGGAGGGCCAAAAAGATTCGGGACACATGCGTGCGATTGAAACATTGCGGCAAATGGGTCCGACCCAAATTCAGCAGAGGGGCAACTCAAGGTCTGCCAATTAATGTTTTTGAGGTACAGGAATAGCCCAACGAAAGGAGACTGACGGGATTCAGTTTCTGTCAACGAACCAATTACCAGCGGTGGCGATGGCCGTGTCAATAGTTGTCGGGGTGGACCATGCTGGTAGTTTCCAAGTTTGCTCTCCGCAGCACGGCCGACCGTCGGGGCAGATTCAAGATCTTTTTGCGATGACCTTCGCGCCATCATGTTCTCCGAACATTCATATCCATAGTTTTTACAGCGGTCGCATTTTGGCCCTGGCCATGGCCGAACTTCGGGTGAGCACTGGGTCTGCATCAGTGATGATGGAAATCCCGTAGGCACTGTCGTACGCATTACTCACCCTTTTGTGGTCCCTGCGGCAACGCTGACACTTCGGGACACCTTCTGAAGGCATATGTTCTGTTGCGATAGCTTCGCTATAGAGGGGTTGCCAAGATGGAGAGATTCGTACGAGTATGTGTAAGCTCAACGGTCTCGGGGTTGAGGTATATCTCGCAAATTAAGCAGACAAGAATTGTGGACAGATTTAGTGACATGGAGGGAATAAAAATCAAAAAGCCAGGAAGTGCCGAAGACTAAGTTCCTACTTATATTTATTAGTTTCGATGGGGAATTTGGGGCGTATACTCGACCCCTCAGGCAGAGAGGCAAATGAACCGTGCACATCGATAACCCATAACTTTCAAATTGCATTGGCCAGTTCTGTTAATAGCGGGGAAGCGGGAACGGCGCCTGGAGAATGGCCTAATAGTATCTCTTGTTGGGTAAGGCTGATATGCCCAGAAGTCGATGTGGCGTTACATGGGGACTCCTTGGTGGTCAATTATAGAGTAAACCGCGTGCTAACTTGTCTTCCTTGCTTCTGTCGTCGGTGAGCAACTCTCGGAACCTGAAATAATTGTTTTTGTGTGCAATCCTGTCACCAAAAGTATCATGGGATGTACCAACGATATTTGGTATACATGGACGATTCCTCAAAAGGAAATAGATCAGTGTGGCCCAAGGATGATAAGGTCAATTCTATTGGTATTCCACAGCAGCCGAAAAGTATGGAACCAGAGACTTTCAGATAGCGCTGCAAGTTCAGGGTTGGATTAATAGCTAGAGGGTACAACAGGTTCACGATCATTACATGCATTATACGTACGCCTCGCTATGTGGAACCGTGAGCCCGGATATTCCTGCTCGAGAAACAGTCCAGTGTAAGGAGACTTCGGTTCTTCAAGACTTGTCAGTACAGTCTTTGGATGCCGCCAAATCTCCCGTATGGGTCCAGATCCACACATTGAAGATTTCCGGTCCTAGGCCATCGTACCCTGGTATATTGAGGCCACGAAATTGCAGCCTGATAATCCCCCCATATTTGACTGTAGCATCTTAATCAGCCGTCGTGGACACACTAACTTGGGTGTGGTGCCTGCAGTTAACTTAAATCATTGGGCATCAAATGCAAAACTGGGTTCGTGGATGTTTCCCAGTTTGTGCAGTAAGGACACTGCAAAGTGAAGAACGCAGATTTGAGGAACTAAGGGATGCTTTAGCCAGCCCCCGTTGTTCCTTAAAAAAGATACTTATTGTTGGGCTGTGCAAAACTCATGAATCCTTTGAACTGGTAATCAAAATGCACTTTCCACCCACATCATAGCAATTCTTAGATCGGCACCTTCCGCTTTGATTATAAGCGTAACTAACCATTGTGTCTTCATGTAATTGAATCATTCAATATTGCACGGCAAGCCTTTCGAGAAGAAGCTGGATTGCAGGTAACTTGTAGAACAATTGCGATTGCGAACAGATATCGGACCGGAAGAAGCATTCAACGGGGCTACCACCAAAGCCATTGCTCCTAAAAACCCACTGCTTACAGAGCCAACCTGCTGATCACTCACGCTGCTTGAGCATTGGTGACCGTGGGACCGGTATCGTTGGCGGTGGATTAGCGGCTATGCAAAGAAACTAACGGTGACAACAACGATTCTTGGACATGTAAACTGTGACATCCCTAACTTACCCATGCCGAGGATTTATGGGTTAGCAATAAGATGTAATTTAGTAACTGTTGGTTTTTGTTACAGGGAGACGAGCCAGCTCTCCCTCGAACAAAGTCAAAGGTTTCAGTAACAAGGCGATAAAAGAAATTATCAACCTTCTGACAAACCCAGGAGCTGCAAATAATTTAATATTCACAAGGAAATGTAACAACCGGCACCTTTGGCGCTGTGTACAGTAACTTCAACGGTGAGAATGGTATCACCTCAAACTGGAAGAAATGAAGATGCGGTTGAGAGAAAAACATTACCACGTGATCAACTAAAGTTAGTCAGTAACGACGACGTCATCCAATGGAAGCATCGATTGTGACCAACATCAACAAAGCTGTTTCCATCCAAATTTCTGGAGAATGAAAAGCGCGCGGTGGATTGTGGGCCGTGGCACGACAGACGATTCTCATTAACATGCGCCATTCATCTGATCTACGCCATTTCCTCTCCTCGGAATACATCTGATTTGGTGGTATCATCAAACAATCATGTCGTCTACACATGCTGTACGTCTAAATGGGTCTGCAAGAAAATCATCCTCCGCCGGGCCCACATCATCGCGACCGTTATTGCCGCCTCCGCCTCCCTTATCACTCGCTCTTTATCCGCTGACTCTTCTATTGGGCTCTTTGTTCTCGTTAATCTCTCCAACCGCAAGACCCCCTGCCAACACATCCTCATCACCGGGCGTCACGCCAAATTCGGATACAAGCCCCGTCAATTACTTCGCGCGCAAGGGGAATATCTTCAATGTATATTTCGTTAAGGTTGGCTGGCTTTGGACTACGCTGGCCTTCTTATCTCTGCTCTTAACGCAACCTGCATTTAACAACAGACTTTTACCTCCTGCTGCTCGACTGAAAAGGGTTGGACGAGCCATCTGTCGCTATATTCTTGTGACAATAGCCTGGTTACTGACAACGCAATGGTTTTTCGGCCCCGGCATCATCGACCGTAGTTTCATTGCTACTGGCGGTAAATGCGAATCGTCTATCGAACCAGGATCGGGGGGGTCAATATCTGAGTTAGCGGTGATATTGACAGCTACAGCTTGCAAAGCATCTGGAGGCGCTTGGACGGGTGGGCATGATGTGAGCGGACACGTATTCATGCTTGTTCTTACAAGTGCTTTCTTGCTCCTTGAATTGCAAGGAGCCTCGTCAGTGGAAAGCGAAATGGAAGAACCAAAGGATAGGAATCAATATTTTGTGCAAATGAAATTAGTTGAGAAATGGAGCCGAAATTTTACATTGGCTGTTGGCGGCTTGAGCTGGTGGATGCTGCTCATGACAGCAATATGGTTTCATACTTGGTTAGAGAAAGTAAGACTAACAAATATCCCATTGAACCATCGAATTTTGGATATTGCGCTTTCGGATAGCTAACAACTTTAACTAAGGTGACGGGCCTGACACTCGCGCTTGGGGCAGTGTACACCATATATTTCCTTCCCCGAACACTTACCCCTTGGAGGAACATTGTTGGTATACCGGGTGGATAAGAAGCAAGATGCTAGTGGGAGGATAATTGGTTGATATGTATAGATAACATCGTTTTGATTTTGTGGGGTTCATAGACATTGCTACATATTGCCATTTGCAAGAGCCAAAGATCCCTTTGGTATTCACGTCGTCGCTATTGAAATAGCTATAGGTTTTATCAAAGTACTTTTATCAGAGGGTGCATATAGAGCTTTCTTTTTTCCCAACGACGTTGATCAGAATTGATCAATAGGCTCAGTCCCCAGATACTGAGACTTGAAAGCTATATGCGAAAGTCCTCACGTTAATTTTGCTTGCTGGAGTTGGAGTACAGGATGATGACACTGTTGTCGCTTAAAAGGAAGAACAACTTACCCCCTGGTATTAACGCGGTTGAATACATAACCTTGGTAATAGGCTTTAGGTCTTCTGGGGTTAAAGGCGATGATATATACTTCTGCCACTGGGTGACTATCTCCTGAGACCGATTATTCAATCCTTCGTCGTTGCTGGCCTCTCGGCATGTCAGGCAGGCTATGCCGAGGCAAATTCCAAACTCCCTGTATGCAATACGAAACTGCAAATCCGTCTCCAGGAAATGGTCCTCCTCGAATAGATGATCTATGCTCCAAGGCAGATATAGTTAGTTTAATCAAATTCAGCCTCTTATTTTAGGATCCTCATTCAAGGGGTGTGCAATCCCCAACGATCGGTGTTTAGGTGAGAATTACGGAGCTGATAAACGCATTTGTCTGCCAGATGACGCGCCCAGTTTTCCCGATCAGCGAACCAGTGAGCCGTCCAGAGCGTCATTCCCAGATCGAGGGGGTCTCTTGTTACATAAAAGTCCCCTTTGCAAGCCATTACTTTCTTGTAATCGGCAATTTCTTCCTTGAGAATTTCCCCGTCGCCATACTTCAAAGCGGATGCCTGCAAGAGGCGGAAAACCACGTACCCGTCAATGGGGTCTAGATGCCCTTCGCTGGCAACAAGCGGACGGGACAAATCCATGGCAATCTTCCATACCATGTGTGGTTTTTCCGAGTTACGGTTGAGGAAGAAGTGCGGATGGATAGCCTTTGCGAGTGAAATAGCCTGCCTGTTATATGTCGGATCCCCTGTCGCTATCGACATTCGGTTGAGAGCAAACATCCACATAGTGAGGTAGTGAAAATATTGCCCATCGCCATCAGGCCCTGTTTCCTCTTCTTTTCCGATCCGCAAACCACCTTTTAGAGGTTCTTCATCTGTCGCGTGGGGGAGTCGAGAAAGACCATCACGCGTGCGACCCAAGACGTCGTGGACGGTAGCGATAAGGCGCTGAGCAAAGATCAAGTAATTGCCAGCGGTAGCCTTGCTATCTCCCTCCAGTGACAGCTCTTTATAAAGGGTAAGAAAATTTAAAACACCAAAGGCGTCTGTCCAGAGATATCGGCCTCTATGACCTCCTGATTTCGGCGGCGGTCTCCACTTTGTCGCGTCAGGAACGGTGGAGAAGTTTCCGTACACGCTTTCCATCGAAGCTAGGAACGTTTGGAGGAGCGACATCGTCAATGAAGAAACAAGAGCTTCTGTGTTTCTTCTGATAGACCCTGTTTATAATGCCCACGTTTAAGGTTGTAATTACCGTCCGTATAGAAAGTTGTGGTTGCGGAAGCTTCCATCTCTGGAATTTACAGGTGGTTTCGTTGATGAGGTCATGATTGCCTCATAACCTGTTCGACGCAGGGATGATATAGTCATCGTTTGAGGAGGAAATGCAGCGGGAGACAATCAATTATCTTAAAATGTTTGTCACTTGAATATGTTTATGGCAGCTACTATTTGAGTTATTGCTTTAAAATGTGTGTTGCCGTCATGGCTTCCCAGCTTTCAATGCTCTCATCACGCATGAAGTCTGCCGCAAAGGTTCTACCGCCAATTATTAACACGTCTTTTGGATCCAATTTTGATCAGTTTGGGGATTACAAAGTTGTTCTAATAGGTGACGGCAGTCATGGTACTTCCGAGTTCTACCAGGCTCGTGCAGAGATTACCAAGCACCTTATTGAACATCACGGCTTTGACACAGTAGCTGTGGAAGCCGACTGGCCCGATGCAGAATCGGTCGATCGGTATGTGAGACTGCGCCCCGGTGTTAAATCAAAATTGGATCCCTCCCCAGAGCCGGCGTTCAGGCGCTTTCCGACGTGGATGTGGCGTAACAAGGAAATGCAAGAGTTTGTACATTGGATGAGAGATCATAACGCACACCTCCCCAAAGAGAGGCGAGCTGGCTTTTATGGCCTGGATTTATACAGTATGGGTTTATCCATCCAAGCCATAATCAAATATCTCAGTCGGGTCGATCCGCCTATGGCCAAACTTGCGCGTCAGAGATACGGTTGTCTACAACCGTGGGTCGAAGATCCATCACAATATGGCCTTGCCACTCTGACTAATCCACGCATGGAATCTTGCGAGAAGAATGTTATCCAAATGCTCCGTGACCTCCTCAATAAACGGCTGGAGTATTCCGCAAACGAGCATAATGGCGAGGAATTCCACAGCTCTGAGCAGAACGCCTACCTAGTTGCTGATGCTGAGGCATACTATAAAGCCATGTACAGCAGATCAGCAGATTCTTGGTCTCTCAGAGACTCTCATATGTTCGAGACACTACGTCGGTTGCTTAATGTCAAGTCGGAGTCCTCCAAAGCGGTGGTTTGGGCACATAATAGCCATATTGGCGACGCTAGATATACAAGCATGGGTACTCGGCGTGGAGAGCTCAATGTTGGTCAGCTATGCCGGGAGAATCTGGGGCAAGAAAATGTTGCTCTTGTGGGTTGCTTCACGCATACGGGCACTGTTGCTGCCGCCCATGATTGGGACGAGGATGTCCAAGTGATGAAAGTAAATCCATCTCGACCTGATAGTTGGGAGTATGTGGCGCATGAAAGTGGCATCCCAAGTTTTCTATTGGACCTTCGACCTAACCAAGCAGACCCTGAGCTCCGACGAGCTTTGGCTCAGGAACGAAAAGAAAGATTTATCGGGGTTGTATATCGACCTCAAACCGAAATGAGGTCTCATTATTCTGCAGCTTCTCTGTCTCTCCAATTCGACGCTATGGTTTGGTTTGACGAAACTCACGCAGTTACGCCTTTTGAGATCGCACAACCGCACACGGCTCTTGGTGTTGATGAAACGTACCCATTCGGCCTATAAATCAATGCGCCCTTCGCATTTAATCTTTCTGTTCTTTTAGTATAAGCACCTGCCTGTACGTAATTCGCTTTTTTTTTCTAATCATCGGATTCCATCTCATTTGGGTCCCGAGCTATTCAACTGTAGAACACGGAATCTTCTTGATATTTCGACTTTTCTTCCAATCACTTCCCATGTCGATGATCATAGTGCCTCTTGGTTTCAGAAGGTTCTGGGAAATTCACCTGTGAAAGCTGGCACTGTCGTTCTGTTGCCTTCAGCAGCTATGAAGTCATCTTTACCCAATTAGGAAAAGCGGTTTGTTTGTTTACCTATCGGAGCTCTCCAGAAATTCAACCTGGAACATTTCCGCAACGTGCACATCCCACCAGCACCAATCCCCAACACGTTCTTGCCACCTTATGTCTGTCTATATACTCTGCTCGACTTCCTCAAAAAGTGGGCATCTTTCGTGGTAGTATTAATTCCCCAGTATTCAAGCAATTCATGCCAACATGGCAACTCCGGTACGGCGGTCGGCCCGTCTCAGATCTACAACTCCAGCAAGCGAGGTGAGTTGGAAACTTGACACAGATTTATTGATAGTTGTCTTTTTCAGCGTATTTGAATGTGGAGCTAACATCTGGATATTGTCTTCCAGCCCCAAAAGCAAGCTTCGAAGCCTTCTACCAAACTTATTTCGGTTGTAGAACGCGAGGAAAGCCTGGACATGTGTTCCCCTCAAAATAGCCGGACTCTTCTCGCAACGCCAGCTACGGGATCTCATACCAATCCATCTATTATGAAAACTCCAAAAACGGCAGGAGCATTAAAACCAAGCCTGGCAGAGATGCATCCTAGCAAGGTACACCAAAACACCTCAAAAAAGCCTGACTCAGGAGCTCGTTTGGGTTTTAAACCCATCCCGATGGATTCCCCCTGCCATCCGCGAAACCCGTCAACCCCAACTCCGACAAAATCCAGATTGCCAGCAGCAGATCAGCTCAATTCTCCCAACTTTAGCATGCTGTTCTCCTGTGAGGATTCGCAGCTTAGCGAAGAAGCCAAGAAGCTCATGGAGAATATTCGCGAAGACGCGTCCAGGATTAAGGCACAGATGATAATTGAACAAAACTCACAGGAATGCAAAAATACTGAGACCGAGCCAACGCTTGAGGTTAGAAAGATTGCGAAAGCAAGAGGGAAAGCAGGCCGGTTCAGCAATGCTCACATGGCAGAATTCAGAAAGATGGATTCGATTACAGGACACCCTTCATTATTCAGGGCGCGCCAGGACAAGATTCATCCCTCACCAGTTAAATCATCTCTCAAGAGAACCAGCTCCAAAGCTTGCCTTGATGAGACATCTTCTCCTGAGAAATCGGGAACTGTCTTCACGTCTCCTGGAAAGACAATGTCAAATAATCCAGTCAAGCGTTCGAAGTCTTCCGGCTTCGCCAGCACACCGGCTCGGGTACCTTTACCCAAAGCCTCACTCGAACCCAAACCAGGACAACATGGTCCGCGGTCTTTAATTACCCCTAAGAAGCCAATGATTGCCCGGGCATCAAGCGCGAAGCAAATCAACACTACCAAAATTCCGAGCTTTCCCCGCTCCCCGTCAACCAAGTCAATTGTTGCCCCACGAACTCCTCAAACAGAGTTCAATCCCAAATTGAAAACCGGACTACCAAGTCTTACCAACCTGAAATCAATTCTCAGGCAACGTCAACCCCTTTTCTCCACCGACCCTGTTAAGATTGCTGCAGGTACCCATGTTGCGCCGCCCACTAAGATTTTTGACATACAGGTGGAGGGCTCCACTGCAAAAAAGCATGTCGATTTTTCCGCCAGCACGAAACTCCGACATGCCTTCTCAGATACTTCTCCAACTCCTTCCAAAATTTTAGCTAGGGAGCCAGCAGAATCAGGTGTAATTTCCTATCCCACTCTTCCACTAACAACACCCCCGAAAGCCAGTAAAGTTTCAAATATTACTTCTGAAAACAAAAGAAGCCCTACAATCAGAGCAGTGAGGACATCTGAAGTTCAATATCCTTGCCCGTCGCTTCCAAACCACACAATCATTCCGCACGGTATTATAAACAAAAAACGGCGACGCGATGAAAACGATGACGAAGATCTTGAAAACAAAATTTTGGAGAACTCAAAGGAAGATGAGCGGAGTCAAAAGAGGCTGAAGCCTAACCCTACTCTCGTCACAAACGTTCATACACCAAGCCCGATCAAGAACAGTCCAATGCGACGCGTGGCCCAGGGAACTGGATCCCACAGTCGATCAACTCAGAAAAATAGAGGTATCTTAACCATGAGCCGCCTAAATATGCTTTCGAAACCGAAAGCAAGACGCTAGTTTTCACACATTAATTGAAACGGCTTCTTCCACTTTCTTTGATTCCCAGCATTCTCTAATAAGTAAAATAACCAGAAACCTTCTTGTGGGCACCAATCTGTTTCATTTTGCATCTTTCTCGGTTCGTTTATGGCGTTCTTGGCACTGACGATGGGATTCAGATTCAGATAGCTGTTGGGTTTTGATTTTTTTTAATTTTTCTTTTTTTTTTTTTTCATCTTTTCCATTCTTCCTTCCTTTGTGGAGTATCTGGCTTAAGGTTTTGTTGATTCGGGTGGGTGGGTTGGGATGGGTGTTTATTTATAAGATCGCGTCCGCAAGGGTTTTGCTGTCCGTTTCATTTTTTTTAAAATAAATTTTATGTTATTTCATTACCGCTCGCAAGTTGCGGAGGATCACTAGATCTTTGGGCCTTTATCGCCACCTTTTGGCTTGCTATTCTGTCTATCTGTCAGTCGAATCATGAAGGAGTATATTCTTTTTGCTTCAATTCACAGGAGGTCCGAAATTTCACACTGATGATTTTTGAAAAGTACAAGAATAAATTTCCAATTTTAGGTTTCAATTTGGGGCTGTTTTCTGTCCTTCTGCTGAAGTTTTCCTTTTTTCAGTTGATGCTCTCCGTTCCTGGTTTCTACTCCTTATTTTTTATTTCTCTACTGTCATTGTCCATGTTCTTGTTGTTGTGAAGGAGACCTTTTGGGATTGATCCTATCAACTGTTTGTTACTACTAGCCCCTAAGAATCGATTATGAGTCCTCGTACTACATATATCACTGTTTCCACATCTTATCATTATTTATAAAGCACGGTAACTGTGGACGCTTTTGCTGCTAGTTATCTAAATTATTGGAAGATACAGGGTGAAGGATTCTAAAGCGCCGTTTCATTGACTCGTTTTGTGGTATTTCTAGTAAGAGTCGTGGGTCAAATAAATAACAATTCGTGACAAAAGCATGGGGAATGGAAAGGAATAAAGTAGGAAGGTAAACAATAAAAGGTTAAGGAAAACTGGGGAATGAGGAGAAATTTGTCCAGACAACGCCAGACTTTTTGATATGCTTGTAAATCAGCAGCCGGGGTTAAAAAAAAAGGAAAAGAAAAGAAAAAGGGAGACAAAGCAAACAATTCTTCCCACCAGCCAGTTTTTGCTTTTCTTTTGTCCCTTTTCTCAACCAAATGTCAAATTGATAAAACAACGACCTCCCATCAATTGATCAGAGTAGCCCCTTTCGCCAGCAAAGGGAAAAGAAGGGAGTATATAATTAACCACCAAGATAATACAGGAGCAAGAACATAAATCAGGCAATCATCAACTAATCCCTATTTCGCCCTGTCCACCGGTGCGAAAACTCCATAAAACAAATCAAAATGTCCCAATTCCGGCTTCGCATTCCTAACTCATGAAAAGAAATCCTATCCCTTCATAGTCGCCAAGAACGAATCCAGATTATATTCCTCTTGGTACTGCCTATCATCCCACAGTTCGCCAAGGTCATCAAGCCAGCCCTTCTTGCCCTTCTCCTTTACTTCCCCATCGATATCGACCATGTCAATCTCATTACCGCCGATTCCACGGTCCTGGTTGGGTTTTTCAGCGCCCTCAGCCGTTTCGCCAAGATTGAAAAGGTCGAGTAGTTGGTCAGTGTCCATCGTGCTGAGACCCGCATTTTGTTGGTTGACAACAGTTGAGGCGACGTCGATTTTGAATCGTTGGAGACTTGTAGGTGGATTTGTTAGAATGCGTGCTGTGTTACAGATAATTTCCTCGCTTCTTTCTTGAAGATACCAAAAAAAAAAAAGAAAAGAAAAAAATAATACTTACTTCAATATCTTCTCCTCGAGGGTACCTCTCGTTATCAGCCGGTAGACATTAACGACCTTCTTCTGCCCAATACGATGTGCGCGATCCATTGCTTGGATGTCTTTCTGCGGATTCCAGTCATGCTCAACAAAGATTACGGTATCCGCGCCGGTAAGGTTCAAACCGAGACCACCAACACTGGTCGTGAGCAGGAGAACGTCGTAACTGGGGTCAGTATTAAACTGGTTCACAATGCTCTGGCGTTTGGTCGCCTCTACACTGCCGTCGAGACGGAGAAACTGCACTGATGGCAACAGCTTCTTAAGAACGTCGTTCTGCACGATATCCAACATTTCCTTCATCTGGCAGAAAACGAGAGCGCGGTGCGGGCTAACATAACTGGCTCCCGTGTCTAATTCACCTTCGGTGGATGGGTCAACTCCAATGCCACAGTCGACCAGTAAATCGCGAAGAGCGATCAGCTTTGGTGCGTGGGCGACATCACGGATATGGGAATTCTTTGCTGCAAGAGATTTCTGGATTTCGTCATATTGCTTGTGACTTTCTTTGACGACGAGGGCGGGGGAATTGCAGAGACGACGCATGTACTGTAATGCTTGGAAAATATGCTGCTTCGCTTCCTTATCGGTACTGCCGACAATCTTTGCGATATCTTTCTGTTCCTTCTTCGTGAAGTCTTCAAACAATTTCCGCTGTAGGTCGCTGAGGTCGCAGTAGTAATTCTGTAAGATCTTTGGCGGTAAGTCGTTCAGGACCTCCTCCTTCAATCGCCGTAGGAGGAATGGCAACACTTGTTTGTGCAACGCTTCAATAGCCAAGGCACCAACCTCTTGTTCTTTCGAGGACGACTTGCTAAATTGACTGGCAGCAATGGGTTTCGCGAAGCGGTCCAGGAAAACTTTCTCAGTCCCGAGGAAACCAGGCATTAAGAAATCAAATAGAGACCAGAGTTCCAACACGTTATTCTGAATCGGAGTGCCTGACAATATCAAGCGATGATTACTCTTGAGCCGTTTAACAGCAAGTGTGATCTTCGCCTTAGGGTTCTTGATCAGATGTCCTTCATCCAAAACACAGTAGTTCCAATTGAGAGGCACGAAAACGTCATTATCATTCCGGCAAATATCATAAGATGTAATTACGATATCCACAGAGCCTAGAGAGCCCCGAAGTTTGGAACGTTCAGAGGGTGCCCCTACATATGCTAGACACGACAAGAAAGGAGCATACTGTTTTATTTCCTGCTGCCAATGCCCAGAAAGGGTTGGTGGACAGATTATCAATGAGGGCAATCTCCGTGCTTCAGGTGCGCCTGTCCGGGCGAACTCTTCGGATCTCATATGGTGATCACTAGCCACGATACAGAGAGTTTGAAGCGTCTTCCCAAGACCCATGTCATCGCAGAGGATTCCATGGAGATGGTATCGATTGAGGAAAGCGAGCCAGTTAACACCCTCTTGCTGGTATGAACGGAGCTCCGCCTTGATCGCAACAGGGATCTCAAAGGGTTCGATCTTGCGGACATCGAGCATTTGTGCCATAAATTGCCGCTCCCGATCCCGTCCTTTCAAGAGCTCCTCGGATAAACCGGGTGGGTCTGGTATCCCAGCTTCCAGAGGAACAAGTTTGACCAGTGTTGCAAAGGCAGTTGTGGCAAGGAGTCTTACATCGTTGTCAGAATCGCTCATTCGTCCAAGAACAGGGACGATAAGGAAAATAACATAAGGCAAAATGTTATCTTCCATGACATGTATCAAGTGATAGATGCACTCAATGACTCCCTGCCGACAGTGGACATCCAACGCATTGTTGATGTTGGGCAGCACCTTCTCCACAAGCATTGTCATACCCTCAACGGTTACAACACTGCAGATAGTTGCAAAGCATTTAGCAGCTGCATATCGGATGACAGACAGTTTGCACTGCAGAGATTTTGCAATGATGGGCATAAGGCTCATAATCCAGGTATAAATGCCAGAATGAAATTTAGGGACAAGTGCTCGAAGCGTCGATAATCCATCAACGACTTCCTGACCGATTTCATTGTCAGGGTCCTTGATATCGGATGGAAGATCACCAGCAAGAGCACTCCGTAAGGGATCTTCAATCAAACTTGCAAGGTTAGGGACCTTGTTCAATAACTCCGCTCCAAACCTACTTGCCAATTGTTCCAATGCTTCCTTGGCACCTCGTCGCATGATACGAGCATCCCGGGACTCCTTTTCGAATCTCGCAGCGTCAACAGGGTCTTTCTTATCCTCTTCCTTACGAAGCGATAGAATTGCAGTTTCCAAACCTGCGTTGTGATGGAACTCAGGTGTCTCCGAAGTATCGATACAGCAAAACTTGACAAGATTCCCAATTACCTTATCCACAGGGCCCCGTTTGGAGGAACTCGTATAATACTGCACAAGTGATGCAACAGCTGACGCAGATCTCTGCTGCAATTCAACGTTTTCCTCCTTCTTGACACTGTCCATCATCCCTTTGATAATCTGGCTTGGCTTCTTGGGAATGTCATGAAGAGCGACAAGCGCACTTGCTGCAGCGGCTCTAATTCGCATATCACGTTGTTCTTTAACTTCCTTAGCTTCTTCAACAGCCGTTAGTGCACTTGCTCGCGAATCATTGAGCACCTGAAGCGCGGTCATTCTCTGTGCTGGGGAAAGGCTCTTTTTCAGTCTTTCAAAATCCGGCCCTAGAACTTTTTCGGCATCCGAAATGGAAAAGGCATTGGGACCAGCGTCTTGATCTCCTTGGACTACGACTGCCAGCATGGGAAGGGAGAATTGTGAAACGTGAGCATGGTCTCTAAAGGCATTGAGGAGGGAATGACACTGTGCACGAGCAATATGTAAATAGCTGGCTATATCACTATACCACAATGGCCTCTCATTTTCAATCACCGAGTTTAGCCATTGTGATAGCAGAGAGGTGTATTTGGTTTCTGGGCCTCTGATTTTCGCATACTCAACGACGACCATTGCGGCCACTAGCTGCGAAGTCGAGCCAGGAGATTTAAGAGAAGGCAAAATGGTCTCCCACAGATTTGAACGGTCATGGCTATCCCAAGTGGACAAAAGTCGACCCAAAGCAGTTGCAGCGTAAATCTTTGACCTAATAACTGTTTCGACACCGACGAGATCAATGTCACCTTGCAACATGTGGCCATCGACATTATGAGTGAAAATGGCCGTCATATCCTTTTTCTCGGCCTTCCGTCTTCGGCTCTTCGCAGGTGGTTCGGAGGCTGTACTGGTGGGAGACGTCTTCCTTGGAACAGCGCCAGCGGATGTGTAGGGTAATCCAGATGGGCGAATGAAAAGAGAAATATCCATAGGGATAGGGTATCGTGGCACGCCAAAAGGGCTCATTGTTACCGTGATAAGCGGTTGTAGAGATGGTAAGAGTTCGTCATCAGTATTAAACAGACCACGGTCTTCCAATGCTTGCAGCAGCTCAAAGCAAACTTGGAGCGACAACTTAAGAACGCCTTCATTTTGTTCAACAAGTAGGTTTTGGAAGGTAAGTCTCATTGCCTTCCCATCAGCCCAAGCGTTTTGTCCTTCAATATCGAGTTTTAGGAACGTGAGTAAAGCTCGAAGTACTGCGGATCGCACACTCGTGATGGTATGTCGTAAGAATGGGAAGAGTCTCGGCACAAGGTTTTCAAAGGATGATTCGGAGTCGTGGGCAGCATTTGTTTTCATTGCTTCAAGGACTTCTGGGAACGTGCAGAGTTTGGCGAGCAGATCCATAACAGATCCTGTGCTAGCACTGAGATCATCTTGGAGGTTAGAGAGACACTCCCACACAATGTTGATCAGGGAGTGTAGCGAGCCCGGTCGAAGCCTCACGAAATCCTCTGCGATAGGAACTAATGTAGCGGCACTGACAGCACGGACATCGTCGTCATAATCTCCTAATCCTTTCATCACAGCAGCAATAACTCCATCAAGGATTTCAGGCTCTTTTAAAAGAATGTCATTCCGGACAGCGACCAAATACTTTAGTCCGATCATACCGCCATGGCACACTTCCCATATAGGACTAGAGAGGCCGAGATCATTTTGCATGATCATTCTGTACAGGATGCGATAAACAGAAGTCAAAGACTTGGAGGGTAAATGTAATAGAAGAGCAGCCAGAGTCTGGCCGACCGTTTCACGGATCGGGGCGACTACATTATCCGAAATATAGTCACCGAAACGATCTAGCAGGAAGACACAAAGAAGTCGGCAGGCTAAATCATTTAGCCACTGATGGTTAAGCGCGTCGTTGTGGCGTCTCCCTTTACCACGAACCCGCCCGGCTCCAGCTCCTTGGACACGGATGACTTCTCGCAGACCCATGGCTGCACCATGGCGAATTTCCCAGCTGGGGTCAAACAGATCAACCATCAGAAATTCACACATGCGGTCATAGGGCCATTCCAAACCCTCTTCTTCCGCGTCAGTTTGAATTGGAGGTTTCTCGGGCACCATGGGACCTTTGAATTCGGAGACGATTTTACTATCATCGTCTGGTTCAGTCCTTTCCAGCGAAAAATAATCCATCTTCTTGTCGCCATTGCTCTCGTCGCCATTTTCCTCCTTTTTGATAGCATGCGGTGTGGAAGCGGTAACAGGTGTAGCTACGACATCAGGATGCTTCCGGACAGCCAGGTCGACGACTCGGATTTTATTGGCTCCCATTTTGGCATTTTGTTTATTCTTTCTCTTCAGCTGGTTCAGTTGCCGTTTGCTGAGCCCTTGGTCATCTCCGTTGGTGGGAGTCGCCTGCATAGGGTCATGTGGGGAAGCCATGGAATGGGACGGATTACTGAACGTACTACCTTTGCGAGAGGGGGGCGGGATTGCAATCTCGAGCTTAGCCTCAGAGCCCTTGCGTGATGGTTGAGAAGCGAAATCAGCCTCATTGACTAAATCCTCCTCCATATACTCCCCCCCAAGACCTAAGCGCGACGACAGTGTCCTTTTCTGGTGCTGCAGCCGAGAGGCCGCATCCAACCCAGCAAGAGAATATTCATACTCTTTACCCGCGCTACCTAAGAGCTTGTGCCCAAACCTCAGGATTGAGCTGATATCAAGAGAGTCCAAGTCGAGAAGGTCTTCAGGACCAGCGTTCTCCGCTGTGTCCCTGTGCTCTTCTTTCTTGGCAGTTGAGGGTACATCTTCATCTCCAACAACGTCGTCCTCTACGGAACTGAGGCCTTCATCAGCATTGGGATCAAAACGTTCAGCATACCCGACAATACCGCCGATTGCCTTCGCAGCTGCAGTCCTGGTGTCCCATGACCTCGACCGCAGATATGGCAAGATTCGACCCAGCAGATTGAACAGCTCATCTGGATGTTGTTTCTGGACATCCGCAAGCTGCTGAGCCGCAGTGTTTCTGATAAGGGGTGTACTTCCTGTTTCCAGGAGGCTGTGTTGGGCGTGTGATTGGTCAGATTCACGATCGGCGCGCTGACAAAGAGAGCGGCAAAATGGAAAATACTCACGTAACAAGCCGGTCGAGCCTAGATCAAAAGAGCATTAGCGTCGGTGGTTCAATGCCATTGTGATTGGTGGAAACAGGTACCTGGAGGTCATGGCGAGTCACGGGACTAGAAGGCAAAAAAGGCAAAAATAGCAAAAAATATAAGGGGAGAGCGAGCGGTAAGGGCGGTAGGGGTAGTAGGGGTAGTTGTCGCAGTCAGGGAGCAACCCGTCACAATACCCATCATAACACAGTAGAAGCAAAAAAAAAAAAAAAAAAAAAAATTATTATGATTAGTGTAGTGATGTGTCTCTATTTATTTGAGACCTGCAACCGTGGTGTTTTCTTTGGGGAAAATAAAATAAATAAGAAAAAAACCAAGTATAGAAGCGAAGTGGAGCTGCAGCACCACCAGCAAGCAGCAGAGGAGTGGCGGTAGTAAAAGCAGCAAAAGAGGCCTGGCCGAGTTTGGCCTGTCGGGCTGGCGATATGGGGGTGTGGACCGGGTCAATAGTTTCTTGGTGCTTCAGAGAAAATTTGTCGAGGTCGCGCTGGATGTTTATATCATTGGGACAGTCCTCCAGCCAGCGCGCCTACCCATGTTTACGCCTCGCTAAGTTTGCCGTTTGCAGCATAGCGGCATGTAATCCCTGGAACGAGGCGTGGTGTAGCGCGTCACGTGATGTGGGACCCTAATCCCCTCTCGGCTCATTGCTGATCATTGACCCGGCGCCAGGCCGCCAGGGTCAATTGGCCGTCGATGATGTGCTGTTACTGTGCCGGTATCTGCCAGGGAGAGAAAGCGTAGGATGAGGGAGGTAATACTGGTAATACTGTGGGTTGCTATTCATGGAGGCATGAACCATGGGCGTCCGTTAGCTTTCGACATTTGCGAAATTGAGGCTGTTGAACAGGGTTAAGCTGCACCGGGGCCAGCGGGCGTCGCCGGCTGGAAAACTACCCAACGTTGCCCAGATCTGAGTGCAGGTGCTTTTTCCCCGAGGCTGATCTTCCCGCTGAGCCCATCTCGTGGAGCCCCAACTCTCTTCTCTCTTCTTCTGGTCTGGCAGCCCCCTTCTCCTCTTCCCCCCCCGTGTGGCCCCTTTTACAGAGTACGCGGCGCGACCAATGCACTCTGCTGCACAGACATTTCCTGTTTTTAGCCTTTTGATGGGCACTCTTGAGAAAATTTCCTGTGGTCTCGTTTTGCACTAACCAAGAGCTTAAATACGCAGTAGTTGTCCAACTCTCAAGGGGAGATAATTCGAAGCAATCTAATCTTTGCTCATCTAGGGTCAAAAATATTCAATAAATACTTTAATTCACCGACTATCAGCCAAGGAATAACTTCCGGGAAGGAAAAATGTATCTCGGTATGTCAACGTCATAGTCAACTTTAGGAGATCGACTCTTCTGGAAACCTCAACGCTGAACCTGCATTCGGACCCAAATATCTGAGTAATGATTGCACTGTTTTAGCGACTGGCTTTTGCTAAACAGTGAACCAAGAGAAGCATCATCAGAGTCTTCCGGGAACATTTTATCATCGTCGAATTTGAGCGAAAACTCCCATTACCAAGATATCAAAAAATATGTATATATCAAATAAATCAAGAAATCTAAGGCTATCTAACTGAGCATCGGATTTGTCATTTCAAAGAAAAGATCAAACAAGGGGGGGGGGGAAATATACAGGACATGTTTTCACGTATCCTGCGTGCTTTTCGGATGAGGAACTCTGCGCAGCAAAGTCACCCGATGCTTGCAACAAGAATATGTAGATACCGGACAGGGAAATACGCGCGAGATATCAAGAAACGCCAACGCAATATAGAATGATGATACATTTGCAAGAGGACGAAAGAGGCGATGTCGTATATCTGTTTTTCAAAGTCTAAAGTGAAAATACATAAGTCACATTGTGCGTTTTGCATTGCCATGCAACTCTTCCCGCCCCAGCCCCGGACCTTTAGAAACGATGAAAAGGCGCGAAATGGAAGTCCGCAAACGAGAAGAGAAAAAAAAAAAAAAAAACAAACAGGTATAGAAACTAGTACATATAGTAATAGAAAAATGCCTCCTCAACGCATGCTAAAAATTGTCTCATCCCCAACACCTGGGCTCATCGCGCCCCCAATATTGCCTTTGATTCCTCGTCCTTGCCTATTAATCCTAACGAACGTATCTGTTCCGCCTTTGGCGCATTCTCTCTGGGATGTGCCGCTTCCGCCTTTCGATATGCCTGTTGCATCGCCCGCATTCGCGCAGCCTAGATCCAGCCATTTCGTTTTGCATTAGCCCTTAAGAATCATTTCCATCTTTGCCAACACGGACTCGATTCCCATGGGATACATTCTCGACGATAGCGGCTCCCGGGAAATTTTACCTCTTTTCTGTGATGCAAACACTCATGGTAATCCTCTAGTGCTGGGACACACTTCTTCTTTCCGGCATCGCCTTCGCTAGCATTAACTACGTAGCAACCGAGAAGTTCTTGCCAGAAGGGGAAACAGCGGGACGGGCCTGGATGGACGATTCGGTGTCAGTTTGAGGAGTTAGCAACCGATGCACGAAGGGAGGACGGGATTCGTAAGGTGGGAAATGGAGGGAAGGGCAGAGTGGGCATCTGTCGAAATAAAAATTGATACATACCGCCATTGAGGCCATATCCTGATGCCATTGTGAAGTACCAATTGGAGCTTCAATCGCGGAGGGGGTGGATAGCAAATTGCTTGCGCTTGAGACGGACGAAGTTGCAGTTGGCGGAGTTGAGGCTCTTGTTCGGGGAAATGCGTCGTTTGTTGCCAGCACGAGCCACGATTGGCCCGAGCTTTGACCAAGAGCCTCACCAACCCACCCATTGATTTCATCTTGACCATGATTGTGTGCGCAAGCACTCTTGCAACTGCTTGAAATGCTCTTATTCGCCATGAGAAGAGCACAACCATGAAATCCCTTGCAGAATTGTCCGGTGCCCATCTCATCGTCTTTGCCGTTCAGCTCTGCGTAAACGGCGATGTGTCCGCATTGCCACGTTTACAGTCCCATTTCCATGGCGGCGATAACATCGATATATTCCTCCGCATTATTTTGACCTTTCTGCCTGAGAGCACCGAGCCTTCCCGATACACCCCTGTTATTGAGAGCCTAGTCAATAGATCCACACCTCCCGCAGAGGACGAAAATGATGAGTTGGATCTTGCTTCAGTTGGAGAGCTGCCTACATCTGCAGCGAGGAAACAGGTCCAACGACTACATCTTCTACCGCTCCGATACCCCGGGCATGCAGAACACGAACCAGATATCCCACTGGTTCAATTTCTCATCCATCGAGCGCACAGAATAGACAACGAATCGGGGCTACAGCCCTTTATTATCGAGCTACTGGAGCCATTCCTTCACACTTCGGAGTACCTGCAAACCTGGGTCATATCGACCGCGCTACCTCTACTTAGATTCAATTACGAATACCATTGTGAGGATGATGTTGAGTTATCTTTGGACATTATACAGTCGTTGGATTCAGGAAGCGCGGTCAATATCTTGCTGTCAAAGACTGAGTCGCGGGATAGGGGTGGGGATGTAGGCAGAGACTTAAGGGGTCTGGTAGGGCCATGGATGTACGGTCATGCGAGCTCGAAAAGACGGAAAATCACTCAACTTGAACGTTCGGGGTCAATTGCTATATTTGATAACAGAGAACCTTCGGCTGAGTCAGAAAGAGACGGATGGCAAGAAGTTAATGAGTGGCTGCTGTCGACCAGCATGAGGGACTTTCCCATGGCAGTGGAAGCTGTAGAACAATGGTCAGGTCCGGACGATATAGATTTTGGCGGTTATAATAAATCGGAAGGTTTGGGGTTATCTATTGGCGATACTCAACTTTCCCTCAACTACGGTCAAGCCGCGCTTGCTACTATTTATGCGACCACAGAAGCTACACCAGAGACCCTCGATGGATCCTGTCGGGTTTTATCCAGAATTGCGTCCTTGCTTGAAATTCCTGGTCACTCTGTCCTGCGCATATTTGAAAATGATCTCGAACCTCTCAATCTCGACCTTACTAGCCTGTCCGATATTTCTCGAGGCGCCATACTCCAGAATGCTCTGCTAGAGCCTTCTAATCCCCTCACATTCCCCACTACTCAGTCAATCGCGTTCATTGACGCCATTCTTGTTTCTATTCGTACTTTGGCTGGCTTCGGCCATGCAATTTCATGCAGGGCGGCTGCGGATATTTGTCTACTCGCTAGCGATGAAATGCAGCTCTCAGAGTTTCACTCTGTTGTTGAAGCCCTGCAGCGGGACCATAAAACAGGACGTGACTGGAAGAAAGTCAGGCTACAGCTACTCTGGTTGAGAGACTGGGGCTATTCTGATCAATTCGAGAAGCTTGAAGCGAAACTCATTCCCGGCCATGGGCTTTTCTGGCGCGTTCCTCTAGTTCTCCTCGAAGGGGAAATATTGAAAACTATGTTAAATGCAAGACGTAAGTATTTCTCCCCTCCCAAAGTAAGGTATTAACTGTCTAACCAATCGTAGAATACGAGGTTGCGGTTGGGATCTACGCCAATACCCTAACCTCGTCCCCACTCCCACCAGCACAAATTGAGGCTGCAGTGACAGAGGCAATATTTGCGGCATACGACAATGCCACTAATGGAAATAAAACGAGAGGCGGGATAAAGCGAGCTTCAGAAATGTATATCTGCTTCCCCTTGGCCATGCCTAACAGTATATTGACTTTGATGATAGGCTCGAGTCATTTGGACCTTACTTCCCACACTCTGAAACATTTTACCAAATCAGGGCGTTGATATCCGCTACGCATTCATTATCATTCTATTCCCTGACGCTGCAACATGGAGTCCCGTTCCAACCTGTCAGCATCCGCGTGCACCATGATCCCCTTTCATTAATTGGCAAAGTCCTCGAGCAAAATCCCAAAGCATACACAGAACTCGATAATCTGATTACAATTGGCCGACACCTCGTTACCGCAGGCTTTCCCGCACGTCCCAGAGGGGACGATGAGCCAATACACAACAAAGAAACCCCGTCCCGCGAAGAAGAATTGTTAGCTTCAGATCATCGAATCATATCACTCTCCATCTCCGCTGCTCTAGAAGCCAATGATTTCGATACCGCATATTCCTACGTTCTCACACGCCTGGCTCCACCATCAATAACATCAAATACTACGATAGCCAAAGGCGATGATGTATCATGGCGTGCCGCGTATAATGCTGGTCGACATCGCTCAAACGTCTCCGAATCAACTAATAAATCACTCCAATCTCAGATCCTCCACCTTTCCCAACGCATGGAACTGCTCTCTCTAGCGCTAATACTCACACCTTCACCAGAGAACCTCCCAGAGATCCTTGCCGTATGGCGCCGCTGCGATGAAGAGATGACTTCTCTCCGCGCGCGAGAGTCGGCGGAGGCCGAAAACTGGGACGCGCGGGGGGATAGTATCACATCCAGCTCCAAAACCTTGCCAGGCGGTTTCGGCCCCTCCGATGCTGAACTCGATGCTCTAGAAACAGAGCGAGCTAAGCGGCTCCGGACGGGGCAGGCCAAACGCACGTCCCACTTGGCCGGCGGGTATGAAGAGGCGCCCATGGGGTTATTTGAAGTGGCGCGCGGCGCGGCTCAGGCAATCAGCAAAACCGCGTTTCCGCTTCGTGGCTCTGAGACTGGTTCTCCTGCTAGTCGTGTTTCAAGTGATTCGAGACGCATTAGTATGGATACCATGGGTACGGGAGGGGGAAGTGGTGGCGAGGGAGGTGCGGGTGGACGGGTTAGGAAGAGGGATGTTGTTAGTAATATGGTGACCGGCGGGTTGGCCAGTGGGCTTGGGTGGATGCTGGGTGCTCAACCGGTTAACAACAGCAATCATAATAATGCTAACGCTAATGCTAATATGGATGGATAATGATGTTTTATGTTGACTACACATTTGGTTTGGTGTTTATTTTATATTATTTATTATTTTTATTGATGACATATATGAATGTGTTAGCTAGCTATGGGCGTGGGGATTTACTATCTGAATAAACCCTGCAGCTGGGAACACTGATTTGAACTTCGATACCCAAGTGAATATCATAACTTAAGTGTTCCCCGAACCACTGAAACCTCCCTCTCCTGAATTCTAGCCACTTGACTTTCTCGACGGGGTAAATGGATAGTTGAGCATCACGCTGGTTAGGTCTACAGTTCCCCTCTTCCCTCCCTTTTTTGTGTCGCCTCTTCGAGATTGAAGTCCTGCTAACACATTCCAGGTGCAGCTCATGATGCAAAATTCCACCCAACACAGCTTGAAACATAGGGGGTGAAAAGTTGTAGGAGGATAACGTTGTTGTGTATTGATCACTTGCTACGTGAGCTCTACCAAATGGATTGCGGCACGTGACTGCGCAGCCATAGCTCAGCTCAAGAGAAATGCGACCATAGCATTCGAGCAATGCGACCTCGGGGAGAAGTACCACCCCGGCTCTAGCATACCCAAGGTAGAGTGCATTTGTCAATGGAAAATAAAGACTCTCTGGCTATATGATACTCTTTTTGGTGGAAAACCATGAACAAAGGTCCGAGGTCCGCAATCGACCAGATATGATTGGCATTAGTTGCACATCAACCAAGCTATCCTTGCACTCAACATCATGTTCAGGACCAGAAAACCCCGCCCCCCACCAAGGAGCGTAATGATCGCCAGCAAGGAACTAACTATCAAAGCCACAGGTACGCTCAACAGATATGAGGTTATAAATTATCATTCTAGAACACAAACGGCAAATGAGGAACAACTATACGAATTTACGAGAAAGAAAATTGAAAAAAAAAAAAAAGGTTTTTAACCGAGGAAGACCTTCAAAAGCAGAGGAAGAAAAAAGAATATAAGGGGAAATGACAGCAAGCTACAGCACCATACCATCCGTGGCCTCCAAGGCACCAGAGATTTTCCATGTCGCAATCCCCGAACAGCAGCTAAGCGATTTCAAGACGCTATTAAAGCTGTCAAAGATCCCCGCACCGACATATGAGAGTCTGCAGGAAGATGGGAGGTATGGGATTAGCCATAAGTGGCTGGCGGAGACGAAGAAGTACTGGGAGGAGGAGTTTGATTGGTATGCTGCTCTTCTTTGATCAAGCTCTCGGGTCCGAGAATAAAAAGGTTGGGAATTATATCCGTTGGAGATGGGTCATGGATTCTCTTTAGAGAGTGAAGATGATCGGACTATCTTTATGGGGGGAGAGTTGATGGGATGTCATCAGTATATATGTGGCAATTCTAAAATTCGGTGCACCGCAGGAGAAAGAACGAGGAGTTCATCAACTCATTTCCCAACTTCAGGGCAACGGTCAATCTCCCCGCCGGGAATGAGAATGAGGGGTTTAAAATCCATTTCGTCGCTTTATTCTCTCAGAGAGCCGATGCGATCCCCATTGCACTGCTCCATGGCTGGCCAGGTATATACAAACTCAACCGTCCAATCCCCTCCATCTCAGAATATATTGTATCCAACGAGTCGATATCCAGAGGGGTGAATAAAATGGACACACACAACTGAACAAAATCCCCTCTCACAAACAGGCAGCTTCCTCGAATTCCTCCCTCTCCTCACTCTAATGCGGGAGAAATACACCCCCCAAACCCTCCCTTATCATCTGATCGTCCCCTCCCTCCCAGGCTACGCCTTCTCGTCAACACCGCCGCTAACGCGTGGCTTCGATGAGACCGACATAGCCAAGGTCATAAACCAGCTCATGGTAGACCTTGGATTTGAATCGTCAGGCTATCTGGCGCAAGGGGGCGATCTTGGGTCTCCCGTTGCGATGAAATTAAACGAGTTGTACAAGGCTTGCAAAGGTGTGTCAATGCATAATAACGCTCCTTTGCCTTTCTCCCCTCCCCCTCCGCCACCTCCTTTCATCAGCACCACAAAATATACATTTAAGCAATAAAGGAGAAACCCATACTCACGCATACACCAGGATTCCACATCAATTTCTATATGACCCTAAGCTCCCCCCCAGAGGGAATACCCGACACCGCCCTCACCGAATCGGAAAAGGCGGGCCTTGAGCGCGGCGCACTATGGAAGCAAACAGGCAATGCATATGCGCTGGAGCATGCCACGCGACCCAGCACCATCGGGCTACTGCTGGGTGCTAGTCCGCTCTCATTGCTGGGGTGGATAGGCGAAAAGTTCTTGTCCTGGTCGGACGTGGCCCCGTCAACGGAGGAGATTCTGCGGTCTGTGACGCTGTATTGGTTTACGGAGTCCATGGGGCGTGGCATATATCCGTATCGGAGCGTTAGTATCTTTGTTTTTTTTTTTTTTTTTTTTTTTTTCGGCTTTGCGATCTCTCCCCCTTCGCGTGTTGCCTTTCTGTTCTTCCTTGACCCTTTTCAAGGGGTTTTGTTTGCGTTGGAACGTTGGTGTGACAAATCTCCCCGTCGCCGTTCAAGCCCCGTCGCAGATATTTTGAACCCCTTTCAACTGCAACCCGTCCTTTTTTTGAGGGGTGGGGAGGAAATGAGGGTCACTCAGGTGATGTGCATGTACATGTACTAATTTACTTTTATATATACGTACATTTTCCAGCCGACCTTGTTATCAACTCCGCAAACCCCGAACAACAAGCCCTTCGGGTACTCATATTTCCCGAAGGAATTATGTCCGACGCCGATAGCGTGGGCGCGGAAGTTAGGAAACATGGTGTTCCATAAGGAACATGACAAAGTAAGTGTATTATTACTATTTATTTGCCTTCAAGCTCTGCTTCTCCCTCTTTTCTTCTTTCAAGTTTGACTCTTGTTGTTTTTATTCATTGGGATTGCGTGGGATTGGATGGAACTGATTTTTTTTGGCACTGTTTAATTCTTTTCAGGGCGGACATTTTGCTGCGCTCGAACAACCGCAGTTGTTCATGGAGGATCTGGAAGCGTTTGCTGCGGTGGCTTGGAAATGCGCAAGTGATGCAAAATAACTAGTGGAGTATATATTATATAGGTAGTAGGTAAAAATTTCCCTTCTCAGGAAAAGCTGTGTGGATAACAATGGGAATTGGCCGCTATGGAAAGGAGAGAGAGAGCTTTGTTCCAGATGAATGAAACACACATGATCACGTCAAGCTGAGAGCTGATGAGAGGAGAGATGACAATTGGATGTAACTAGGCCAGGTCTATTCAATTACCATGACATACGGGTTACTATCGTGATGTGTGTATGTGTGGGTCTCGGGAACATAAGAAGGAAACGGTTTAAGAATGAAAGAAAAGAAACAACGGAAGCTGTATACGGCGGGGGAAGGTGGGTAGGAAAATTTAAAATACTTGCGGTCGAGTTTCTGTATACATAATTAGACCACGCGACCCCAACACCTATACCTACCTAGGGATATTGATATTGGATCGTTGCCATCACTCAGAGCTTCCATCAACCCACCTTTCTTCGTCCTCCAGAAATGGTGATAATAATGATCAATGTAACTTATAAACTTATATATTTATAAATTTATGTATATATATATATATGTATATATCCTAAAAACTCCGGTCTTCTCAGTAAAGGATATGGGAGAGAAATGCTGGGTTTGTTTTGTCATCCTGTTGGTCATCCACCACAAGGTAAAAAAAAAAGAAAGGAACACCAGAAATGAACGGCTCTTTGTGTGGTTGGTGTTGAAGGGGGGTGTGGCCATGGCAGAGGCGAATCATTCACAAAAAGAAAGCGAAAAACGGGAACTACAAAATGGATAATCCAAACAATCAACCCAACGCTAAACAGGTTCGATATAAAATAAATGAAATGTATTAGCGAAGATCCCTGTCATCCAGGGTCCATAAAAAGCGGAAAAACATTTAAAATTGTGAAGGAAACAATGCAAAATAAAAGGTGAAGAAATGATCAGAGGTGAGTAAAAAGAATTTCAAGAAAGTCATAACAAACCTGAAGATCAAAAGATACAGATATGGTTAAGTAGCCGCAAAATAACAATAAATTATTCATTAACCATTGGTGCATGTCACTCACGGTTTGAAGAAAGCAGAGAGATCTCGGGCGCGGTAGAAGATGGACGGTAGACCACAGCGAAGTTAGAGATTGGAACAATATTGGTGAATCTTAATCATAACAAGAACAGTATGAGGGGTAAAATGGCGTATGCATGCTGTTAGCGCTTTGTAGTTGTCCAAAACCTCTAGTCTTGCCAACCCCACACCTGTTTCAGAAAATGTGCCATGTTGACCTTCTTGCTTTTCATTTCTAGCATCCAGGGATGATCCGCCATGCGCCACGGTGTTGCTCGTCTTCGTGGCTCCTTTTCCAAACTACTCAATTTTTATAATTGTCAGTTCCAGTTGCGTATTGGATTTCCCAAAGTGTGAAAATAAAGCGAGATAGATTGAAAATTCAAGACACATAGGAAAATAAACTTACCAACACTCGATGAAATATTTAAAGTTTTCGCTCCATTTTATGCCATTATCGGGCTCATCCTTCAGCTGAGGGATTGGCTGGCGAACAATGTATGTTAGAAGGTCTATCAAACCTGCACGTGGTTGCATTTCTGTTCCATCTGCAGGGAAGGGGAACCGGTGTTGAGCAACTTCGAGAAGCGTTACTCCAAGAGACCACACATCGGATGTGATGGTGTAAGATTGGCCCGTGATTCTTTCAGGGGCCATGTAGTAAGATGTGCCAATAAAGGTGTTAGCATCGCCTTTGGTGCCGAATTCCCCACTGACACCGAAGTCACAGAGTTTGACTTGGCCATTACGGCATAAGAGGATATTAGAAGGTTTGATATCTGTAGATTCGGGAGTTAGTTTTTGGGGTGTTGGTGATCAAATAGATAACACGCTTTGGACGGAAATTTACCTCGATGGATAATTTTACGCCCGTGAAGGTAGGTAAGGCCGTTTAGTACACCTTCAGCTACCTTACCCAAAACTTTCTCTCCCGTCCGTCCTCCAAGCTTCTTCACTTCTCTATAAACGCTGTCCAGACTGCCCCCTTCGCAAAATTCCATAACAATCGATATGGTGCTGGTTGATTTGTCCATAAATGCGCCGTATTCCGATGCACAGTCTTTATTGAAATTCAATTCCCGAACAATCTGCTTCTTAACGTCTGGGTTCGGGTCTGTGGTGATAATCTGCAAAGATCGAACAAAAGAAGATTAGTGCTAAGTTTACACGGAGGTTTGACATGACATAGATACACGCCATCACCAACCTTTAGAGCAAACACCGTTTTTCCACCTTTAAGCATGCAACGAGTGACGGCACCGCCGGCTCCCTCACCAAGGCTGTCAAGCTCAATGATTTTCTTTTGAGAGCTAGCGGCTAGCCAGCCTTCATCGTCTAAATCTTCCACATCCAACGGCCGCCCTTTTTCCAAACTCAGCTTCTCCAGATCTGGTAACAAGCCGTTCATGCTGTTATCTCTTTCCACTGATAAGCCGCCATCTCCCCGGTCAGAGTATACAGAACTAATGGCAGAAGTGGGATCAGGCGTTCCTCCGGGAGGTTGCCTCAAGCCAATGGCAAAAGACAAGGCGGAATAGTTCGAAGAGGTAGCCGATGTGGGCCCACTGACTCGGCCATCATATGTGTTGAAGCTTCCTGACCTTGAGCGGTTGCCATAGTCGCCATTATAAGATGTCGCAGAAACGCCTGTCACTATCTGCATAGATGGTCGTCCATTGTTCAAAGAACTCACTTCTTGTGGAGTTCCTTTACTTCCCTTCGGTGTGGCTAATCTAAGCTGGGGAGGAGCTGGACGAGCAGGGATTGGTTGAGAAAGCTGAGGGACATCCGGAGCAGGGTTGGTTCCAGCCCCATTTGAATTGGCAATGTTCAACTTGGGCGAGCCTGGGATCCCCAATTTAAGACGGGGTGCTTGTTTGCGGTTGGCACCAGGAGTGGGTATTTTTAAGAGCGGGGCAGGAGATGACATGCTGGATATGTGTGCTTCTCACAAGGCTCACACCAGACCTTTTTTCGTCGAACAAAAAGTTAACGCTCGGAGTCCGGGGGGGGGGGAGAGGACGGGTAGGCAAAACCAAAAGGAAACGGGGAACGGATTATATATATGGCCACTGAGAGCGGAGGAAAGTATGTGGCGCGGTGACTGAGACTCTGGCCTTCGAGAGGTGCCGTTGTTGAGGTGGTGGAGGGGTAGGATCAAATCTATCTCTAGAAACTCGACAACGCTCTATTGCTGACATTCGCCACGCTTGACTGGGTTCGACGTGGGATAAATAGTCTGAAGAGGATATTTTAAATGTAGACAAGGCAAAAAGTAACACTATTCTAAGAATAGGCTTGTATCGATTGAAAGGAGGCTCGAGTGTGTTATATGATGCCTGGTAAAAAATGGAGTCAACATGGGATGCTGGCGCCAAATTTAGACACGGAGGAGCAACGCCGTTACAACCCTTTCGGTGCCAGACAAGGGGAACGAAGAAATGAATGAGCCTCGAATTAACATGGGCGAGAAGAAGGACTGAAGAGTGTGCTCTCCTGAGATATGGATGTTGGGAGGAGATAGAATGGGGGTTTGCAGCAGTGGCGGTGGTGGACACGGGTTGAAGCGACGTGGAGACTGGAGGGGCCCCGAGGAGGGGACGCTGGATGCTGGATGCTGGGGGCAGCTTTGGCCACTTCTTGTCGTCACTTACCAAGCTGTGCCAGTACCACGACACGCACGACAAAGGGCGATAGGAAGGAGAACTTGTTGAGGATGGAGGAACAAGGAGAAGAGGAGGAACAAGAGGAACAAGAGGAACAACAAGGAGGAAGACATAAAACACACTCTGGTCAGGGCGCTTCTTCGATGAAACTGGCGGTCCTCCTGCGTCTACCGCCCACTGCCTGGGGCTCTGACTCCAGCTCTCCAGCTCTCCAGCTCTCGAGGTCTCTGGCTCTCTGGCTCTCTGGCTCTCTGGCTCTCTGGGTCTGGGTCCACACCACACCACACGGCCCCACGGCTCCTGGCGCTGGGTTGCCCGCTTCTCAAGGTGGGGATTTGCCAGCCGCAGCCCAGGGTTAATTCCCCCCCATGCTGCCAGCCCTGCGAAAAAGAGAGAGAGAGAGAGGAGAGAGGTATGCAATCCATGATATTTTATTATTTATTTGCCTCTGCTCGCTATTTCTATGCTGGCTGCTATTTCTGCGTTTGTCCCCCTTCAAACTGCCACTGACCTAGCTACGTCCTGCTGCCTTTAGCTGAAATACCAATCTCGCCGCCGTTTTTACCCGCCGTTAGGGGGGCGTCCAAACCCGACCACGGCAAGGGGTTTGCCTTTCTACCCAACTCAAAAATGGGAGGATAAGAGACAAGAGGACAGCAGGGCACTTGTGCAAGGAACCAAGTCAAGGAACCAAGAGTAAAGGGATATTTTCCATTTCTTGTGTACTGTGGTTCTGATATAAACTGTTCGCCAACTGGCAACTGACATTGGACAACGTCCTCGGCCTGTTGCTGCATCTTGGGGCGGCGGCCAAAAAGTTTTTTGCATACCCACATCCAGGCTCAACTTCTAGCTCAACTGGTCGCGAAGTGAGAGTCGGAAAACAAAAATATGCCTTGGCGGTTACGCACAACTCTGCTGCAGATGCCAGGCGGGCAGCTACGTACAATACATACATCCACACATACACTACACCGATGCAGCCACGGGTCGCACTAGGCTATCTATCAGTGACAGTGTCCCGAGGGAATTCAATCAATTTTCATTATTGAATCTGGCCTCGCAGGAAGCGAAAATCTTGAGTCCCCGAAGCCCACACCCATAATTGATTGATTGATCAAAAAGAAAACACCGGAAATTCCAGCCTCGCCATCTTCCCACCAACCTGTTGTTGGACTGTCAATAAATCGAGCTAACATAGCCTAATTAATGTGAATGAACGCATAAACCCCAACCCCTTCCCCCTCCTCTCCAAGGGTTTTCTAGCGGGGAAAACAATGGAGGACAACGATGATTGCTCGCCTGGGAAATATGGAGCTGGATAGAGAGCCCGCACCCTACCCAATCCCTGAAACGATTGCAGAAACGGATATCCGCAATGAACAAGTTAACATTCGGAGGCCCAGATCTCCTCGGGGGGGCCCGGCGACTGTTCCGTGATTGCCTGTTCCTGTTGTTGCTGTTGCTGTTGCTCTTGCTTCAGGGACTTCGCCGAAGCGCTCGCCGGCGTTCAGCCCACACTGGTTGGTTGCCCATTGCCCACTCATGAACTTGCAAGCTCCTTTTTCCTCTTCTGGCCTTCCCTTCTCGTCATGATCCTTCTCGTTGCTTAACTCGGGGCCAAAACATTGCGATTGGCTGCTCAACCCCAGGATCTTAAACCCTATCCGATACGACGGGGCTCCGACGGGTTACATACAATTGAACATCCAACCGCCTCGGTATATTTATTATTCCTGTCCGGGTACATGTGTCCTTCCCTGGACTGGGTTAAAGTTATATCACGAGTTACGTTACTCAAGTCGTTGCTTGTAGTTATTTTTTTTTTCCCCTTCTTTCCTTTCTAACCGCCATTCCCCATGAAACTACATGGAGGGGGCGACAGAATGCAACCTGCAGGAAACTGAGCACACAATAACAAAAGCTACTTCCCAAGATCGTACCTATCCTCTGTGGCGCTCTTGGGATATAGTTCATTTCGTGCTGGCATTTTCTCATCATGTGCAATAAGAAGTTTAGATTTTTTTTTGTATGTTGAAGCTAGTGATTGTGCATTCAAAGTTGTTCCGATTTAGGATTGAAAAAATTTTTTAATCATTCAAGATAATGGAACTAAATTTGCTATCGTGGATATCATAGCAACTATAAAGGTATATAGATAGATATAAAGGCCAAAGTTTATCACTCCCATTTATGACTACCGTACTATATTTCCGTCCAATCCAACGGGACACCTACCTACCTAGTCCCACTCAATTCTCCATGTAATCTGCTGAAATGATCAGCAAAGTACCCGTTCACGCCATTTACGCCCGGTGGGACGAAAGAGGGCTGATATATCTACCACCGTACTCGATAACCGCGATTGCTGCCATCTGCATCCTTATGGAGGCATTTATTTTCCCATCCTCCTTGGAACTCGCTGTATACTGACGGATGCGGCACACTAAGTCAAAGTGGCCACCTAGAAAATAGCCCCTTGTAATAACGTTTTCGCAGTGCAGACTGATCATTGTCACCAAAGCAAATTGAACATGACATCCAGCAAGCAACTCACCAGTGTATGCGACCTGCCGCGGCTTCGATGTTGTCCATGATTCCACGCAGCCACCCATGTCGATCCTGTCGTGTTTTGGTGTAAGTTGGGCTTCTATCGTTTGAGCCATGTACATGTACTACGTCACTTTGGGCTTTTAAAGGACCGTCAATGCCTTCCCTTTTTTTCCTATTTACCTGGTTGAGCGTCTAGATGGAGAGATCTGAGCGTTCTATTTGTAATACCACAGGGCAGCTGTATCCGAACTGGAGTTGCTTGGAAGAAATCTGAGCTGGGGCAAATGATACATCGAGCTCCTAACCTTTGAAAATATCGGAAAATAGTCCCATGCCAAGAATTCTAATAAGAATGTTGGTAAGCTTTCTAAGATATACCAAGGGAATTGAAGTCTTGCTTCGATAGAGCTTCGATAGAGCTCATCCTCAGTTTTTTTTTTTCACTTTCTCCACCGGATCGTCCGCCGCATATAGGCAAGTTGCCAGCTATTTAAGATCTGGCCTTGGAAGTTGCAACTGTGAGGCGATAGCTGGTCTTCTAGCGGACTCCGCGTGACGGTTCTCCTCTTTTCACCTCTGTCCAAGTATAGTATTTTGTGGACTTTACTTTTGTAATTTGGATGGCCGTCGGGTTTTTTTTTTTTGGTTTCTTGCGAAGGGTCTTTTGTGTTTCCATACAGCATGGGTATATTCCAGGTGGGTCAGCGATTTTTCATGGCAGGTCACATCACTTATGTGCATTGTATAGGACAGAGAAAATGCGGAGAAATCCGACATGGTAGCAACACATCCAGGTGAGTCACGAACCTCTGACACGGTAGACATGACTGACGAGCAGTTCCTTGCTCAGAACTCGTTGTAGCGTGTGCGACTCTTTCGTGAGCGTCTCCATGCGTGGACTAACGTTCCTCTGCACCTATTCTTCATCTCATCGTCCCACTTGATCTTCTCCATCTCTCTGATGTAAAGGGTCACGCGAAAACTCATTATGTCGATGAACTTCTCGTGGATAGAGGACCGATGGTCTTGGAACAAGCGCTTCAGCCGGTCATATTCTGCCATGCCGGAGGCTGTGATGGATGGTCGACGACGGACACACTTGCGCACGTAGGGTATCAGAGCAATGAAGGACAGTGACTGCGAGGTAAGGGCAAGGTGCTTGGCGTTGATATTGGTCAGCCCAGCTGTTATTCTGGCGCCAGCACCGAAAATAAGCAGTGGCGTGCAAGAGTTATGCAGTTTGCGATAGTCGAGTAGGACCGTCGAGATCTCGTTGGCCATGGCGGGGATCGATGCCAGGAGGATTGTGTATTGCTCTATGCCGCGAAGTGCAAATACTGCCGAATCAACGAGGATAAATTTCCCCTCCTCGATGACCGCCAGTGTCGGGCCTTTCTTGTTTTGCTTAGCAGCACTGTAGGCTCGGAAGGGGTGGGTTTCTCTATAAATTCCGTTCGCCTGTTACCAAGCCTGCGGTACTAGCGTCCGTGTAACCGAGCCACGCCGGCGGGTCAGTGGTCATGGACTAGGCAATGTGTGCCAGGATCAATTCGTTCTGGGGCTTGAAATCGATGCGCTCCCACTTCTCAAACTCCATCTTTTGCACCAACTTTTGCTTTTCCACTTCGTGCAGAAACGGGATAAAGCCGAGAATTTGGTTGTTCGCGACGTCTTTGAGCGCCGTTCCAGAATGTCCAGAGACTGCCTCGCATTCATTAACAAACAGGCGATTCAGCGTAAAGTAGCTTAGGAAATCAGTCAATCTAAGGCGAACCGTTTGCTCGGTTCTGACACGCAGCACCTTTGTCATCTCTGACTGTGCCTTGTCCACTGCCTGTACGAGGAGGCTCGACATGTCAATGGTTTGAGCCATCACTTCCGGTAAATTACGTCCCGTCGAAAGGCTGGGCGAACAGACCTCGCATTCGAATCCCTTATCGCCAGCGGTCGAGGACTTCGCAACGACCAGTCATGGCCGGGAAATGGGTCTTCCGCCCTTGGCGAAAGCGAAACTGCTACGGAACGCGGGTTCCCTGACTTGCCGCCTGAGGGCGTCGACATGATCGCGCAGTGCTGCGTAGCGTTACGAGCGAGGCGGCTTGGGAATTGTTAAGGTGCAGAGGCACAGTCATGGTTCAGCAGTTGTATTACTTGTGACGAAACGGTGTGGAGATAGGAGCGTTCTTGATGTTGAATTTTAATGTCACGTAATGGAAATCAACAGAATGGGGATGAAATCTGTTTCTCATAGAGTGTGCTAGTGGAAGAGGTAGAGATAGACTTCCAGTGGTGAAAGATTGCGGACTTTGAGAGGTAACAATGTTTTCCTGATTGGCGCCGTTAGGCTTCCTATTACGGACTAGCGCTCCGCACCTATATACATATCAATACAACTCGGACGTCCAACACAATCTTCCTCACTAGAGGGCGATATAATCACCTGGACTACGGACGCGTATTTCAAAAGTTCGTTCGCGCCCTAGTAAATTACCTTGAATATATATTTCAGATCGTGGAAAGCTAATAGGCTTCCTGCATTGGAACCATGTGTACAGATATGTATGCGAATAGATATTGCCAGCTAGATCGCTAGTTACCTACCTACCAGCCTACCTGCTTGATATTCGATCAATTTCTATGCAAATAGATATTGCTACCATGATGGAATGGAGAATGCTAGCTATATGTCTACCTAGCCACCTATCTATCTGCTTGATATCCAATTGTTCTCTATACAAATAGATATCATCATCTAGCTACCAACCTACCTACACAATGTCTGGCCAATTGCTAACAGGGCAGAGAATGTTAGCTACCTATCTACCTGCCAACCTACCTGCATGATATCCAATCAATCTCTATGTGAATAGACATTGTTAGCTAGATAGCTAGCTACCTATCTACCTCACTGCCTACTAACCACCCTACCAGCTCAATATCTAATCAATCTATATGAGAATAAACATCACCTATCTATCAATGATATCTAGCAATGATATGTATCGATGATGATATATAATATCTAAGAGTGTAGCAGCTATCATAGCTGCCTTTGGTCTAGATGCACAACAAACTAGATAATGTCAATGCATTTATGAACAGCAAGATTGATGAGATAGTTTACGTTGATCGACCTGATCGTTGGTGGAAGTTAAATTGGGTACGGGGATCTAAAGAGGAAGAGCCATGCCCTCTATGGCCGACAAAGATCGCCACTCCTTTGGATTAATGAGCTATCTTCTACCTTCCGAAGACTAGGTTTTACATCAATATCCGAGGATAGATGCCTCTTCTCAAATGATCGCCTAATTATATTCTTTCACATCGCTGATATCACTGTCCCGTCACACCCTAAAGATTTGGAGGAAAGAAAGCGATCAATTGATCGCTGATCTCCAAGGATATGTACGAGATTCGACATATGGAAAACCTTCTGTTGTTCCTTAATATGAGAATTACTAGGGATAGAGCCTCAATCAAGTTATGGCCCTGTCAGAATACAGACACCCAGCTGGACTGGTTGGAATTTGTGAGGTGATTTTAAACACGATGGGATCTCGTTTTCCTACCACGTTCCAACTCAACTAGATGCTCATGAAAAAAAAAAAAAAAAAAAAAAAAAAAAATCTGTGGATCCCCTAATATTAAAACCATGGAGTTTTAGAATCACAGAATCACATGCGAAGCAAGTCGAGGGATTGTGCAGTAAATGGGGCAATTTTCAGAGAGTATAAAAAAGACGCAAAAAATGGAAGACATAGATACATGTCTACTCCAGACTATATATGGACAACCTGTATAGATGCATATGTATCATCAAAGCAAGGCAAATTGCCCGACAGCGAGAATTCGATTTCCCACTGTCGAGGCTTTTTTTTTTCGTGTTCTGCTGGCAGGGTTACACCCGTACATGCATGCGTCAATGCAAGGAACAAATGTAGAAAAATGGAACATTTCCAAATCTAATCGATCTACAGAGTTATATTGTTAATAGGTCGTTTCATTCATTCCATGCTATATTTGCTGATACATATATCTTGTTGTGTTCGGTAGTGTGTTTCAATATGTGCAGTACTGATATATTTCGATATAAGCCTGTAAGGATGAAATCTGTGTGTCTAATAAATTGTTGATGACACGTCTTTCTAGAACAGATCATGAGTAGTAGAGTGATGATTTGCTGTGCTAAGATTAGTTCTCCACACTGTTTTTAGAACAGCAGATGGCCGTTGAACGTGGAAATGAATGAAATCAGGCCGTACAGGGACGACGACCCAAAATAAAAAAGGAGGAAAAGGAATAGACATGAGAAATAACAATGAAAACTGGCCTTCATCTTCAAAAAGTGTTGTAACATGCTGAGATTAATCGTTTTTACTCTTCCATCGAATCTTCTTCGGCGTCCGGAATACTCCATAAACAAATCTCCGAGTCAAAGCGACGCTTCAACTAGCACGACAGGAAAGCGAGGTGCCAGTATGGGGTAACATCGGAAGATCGTGGAAAGAACAAGTCGCAGGCGATCAGCCAAATTCGGTGCTAGCTGACAGGGGTTAGGCGGATATGGAGGCAAGGGGTTAAAATTGGATGTGCAGCTTTTTTTTTCCTTCGAAAAGGTGGAAAAATGATGGTTCTTACGAGATCAACAGGATTTACGAGGTCGATTTGATTTGATTTTTTTTGTTCAAGGGATGTTACTGGATTGCGAGGAAATTAGAAATTATATGCACAAGAATGATAAGGAAATCGATTAGATAAAGCAAAGACGGCCAAAAATGGAGGGCACAACAGCAGCAAGAGAAGAATGACCTCGGGTATAATATGAAAGGAGGGGAAGAGCAAACAAAAAAGAAATGGGAACCACATAATGGCAAGAAAAGCTCACGTTGTTGTTTCTCTCGTCTTCCCTAGCCCTCAGAGTTGCTGCAAACGTAGAATCGAGGACAAGACAAAAAGGCTGGCTACACATACAATTATCGGCAGGCTTCTTTCGAAAGACTTCACAAGAGACGGGAAGAAGTCAGAGAGAGAAAACGGGAATTGATGCGATGGCATTCAGCTTGGCTCGCGGGGAGATCTCAGATCAAGCAGAGAACGAAATAGAAAGGAGACAAGACGCCGAAGTGATTGAAAAATGCCATCAAGAGCAGCCAGAAAATCATTGTACGCTTCCCAAGAATTCAGGTTTCCCACTCTTTCATATACTAGATATATATATAGCGGGTAGAAAACAAAAGCTCTGGTGGCTGTTTGAGAACCGAACCCCATGCCCCAAAAATGTTGCGTTCGTGTCGGTCATCATTAGGAATGAAGCGAAAGGTATATAAATATATATAGCACATGAATTAAAAAGGAAAGACTCGCTCTTAGCAGCTGAAGGAAAACGAAGAGAAAAGGAAAGAATTAGAAACGATGAACTTTCTGCCATTTGATTACCCCAAGTGTGAAAATTAAGAACAAAAAGCCCAGAGCAGAGCCCCAGCTTCTCGACGCTAACTGTAGCAGTCGCTGGGAGAGCCTACTTAGGGTCCAACAGATCGAACAGATAGCGAGAAAAGCTGGGGCAGATCGTGGGTATCATCATTGAAAGAAAATCTATGCAAGGAAGAGAGCAGCGACAGCAGCGAGACCGGCGACGGCGAAGTTGGTTCCAACGGAGCTGGCAGCACCCTCCTGGTAAGGGGGAGGGGTAGGGTTGCTAGACAAGACGTTAATAATCAACGAATCGAATGAACAATATGGTGCTATGAACTTACGTTGGGTAGCCACCGGTTGGCTGGGGAAGACCCTCAGAGCCAGCTGAGTAGGTGGGAACAGTGTTCTCAGTTGGGTAGATGACAGTGGTGGAGGAGGTCACAGTTGGGATGCAGGTGGTGTAGGTAATGGTGGAGGTGGTTGGCTGAGCGCCAGTTGGGTAAACGCTCGACTCGCCACCAGTGGGGTAAGAGTCAGTTGGGTTAGCGCCAGTGGGATATCCGCCAGTGGGATATTCGCCGCCAGTTGGCTCGACCTCAGTGGGATAAGCGCTGGACTCGGTCTCAGTTGGGTAAGCGCCGGTGGGATATCCGCCAGTGGGATACTCATCACCAGTTGGCGAAGCGCTTGGGGTCTCAGTTGGGTAGCCAGTGTCAGTGGGCTCGGGCTCTCCGGTTGGGTAGCCAGTAGGCAGGGGCTCATCCGAGGTAACGGGATAATCCGAGGAAACGGGATAATCCGAAACGGGATAGCCAGTGGGCTGAGGTTGATTGCCTGGGCAGTTGTAGACACCTGGAGGGCAGCTGGTGATAGTCACGTCCTTGGTGGAGTAGACGGTGGTCGAAAGGAGGAGACGTACTGGCCCGTTGCAGTGGCGCAAGATGCGTTCCACTGTATAATCCTGAAAGGCGGGGATCGATACCCTTACTTCCCCCGCCCATTACTTAGCGAATTCGAATTCAAAATTCCAATATCCGCAAAGCCGACGAAGCCAG